CATGACATACTTCCTTTATACCTTATCTTTCGCAATATGATACATTGAAAACATTATGTTACGCATACAATTGATAAAGAACGGAGGAATTGAATTGAATTGGTGAATTGAAGTAAAGTTTATTATGAACTCCTAAGACGCTAAGACTTTGACTAAATTTGAAAATCACCCCCCTAAACATGTTTGTTTTATGACGAATTTAGATTCATGATGGATGCCACTGGAGGAAGTATGGACAGAAAATCGCGAAAGGAAATCCTTGTCCTCGAGCATACTATCGATGCACAGTTTCTCCGAATTGCCCAGTTAGAAAACAGGTAATTAGTCTTATTCACCTTAGCTTGATCAACAAAGTCCATGATCCACTTTATCAGGCGTCAATGAAGCCTTTGACCTTCCCCCCATACCTCCAAGAAATCAAGTTTTATTTAATTACAACTTGTTAGTTATATAATTGAATTTTATTATTACAAACTGAATAACAACTTGGATGTGGTCTTAAGGTCTCTTAAATAATGCATGCTAATTTATACTTTATAATACTTAATTCTAACTCAACATGATTTTTTTTATACGTTTGATTGATCCAATATGAATGAATACTATTTAATAATCACTGATAAAATTTTATTGTTTAGACTTCCATTTATCTATTGGTCAAACTTTTTGAAGGAGTAAACATTTTATAAACATCATATGACTATCGAGGAGATTGGCTTTGAAATAGTTGTGAGCTAGTCTAAAATGAAGAGCTTTTCATATGCTACCTCGCCCTTTACTTAATTTGTCTAGAATTAATTGTCACCCTATCTCAATCCTTCAGAAAACATTTATGGAGTATGTGATACTTTATAATAGTTGGTCATTTGTCACTTAATTTTTATAGTAGTATATTGAAAATTTTAATCACTATATAACATTTACATACATAAATTGTGCTAGCACCATTACTAGTTTTTACTACATTAGAAAATGCAATTCTCTTTTAGATGAAATCATTTCTAACAAAATACGGAATACTTGTATTAGTTGACTAGTTGTATATGCGATGAGATGACTATTAAATCTAGATTTACAATAAATTAATTATTGAACAACCTTTTGTAAAAATAAAAAAAATAATTAAAAAAAAAAGTAGTGAGGCCAATATCATCACTATACAATTTTGATTAAGAAATATCCTAATACATTACAATGGCTATGAAATCAAGCAGCATGTATGATCCATATTGTTTTGATTTTGAAAAATTGCTTATATAATGTTATTGCACGCTTTCCTTTGAGTTTACTTTACTACCTCCATTTCATATTTTTTTGCAACTTTGGAGTATTATTTGTGAGATATAAAATATTCCAAAGTTGTAAAAAATATGAAACAGAGGTAGTAGATCCCTTGGAAGACGAACCTCATTTATAGTTTAGGCTAACGATAATTAATAACCTAAGAGTTATGTGTACATTATATCAGTTTAGTTCATTTGGAGAAATTTAAAGGAACAAAAATGATATATTAAGCAAAGAAAAACACTCATAAAAAATAATCCTATAACTTTTGCTTTTTAAATGTTATGCTAATTGATTTTTCAATTTCTTATGTAGGTACAAAGATGTCCACATGACATGTCAATCTTGATCACAACCTATGAAGGAACTCACAACCACCCACTCCCTCTCTCCGCCACCGCCATGGCTTCAGCCACCTCGGCTGCAGCCTCCATGATAAAGTCCAGCTCCTTAACCTCTCAAACTCCAACCCTCACAAACCCTAGCCTAACCACTTCATCTCTAGGACTACATTCCACAAATTTCATGACCACTTTCAACAATAATCCTTCCTTAATCTCAGCCTCATGTCACAACTCACACCCTACAGTTACCTTAGACCTCACTGTCCCGAACTCCGGCTTCTCCTCCTTTGATTGGTTATCCTCATCCTCATCATATTCTTCTTCTACCTCAGCTAGAAACTCTAGCTTCCTTAACTTTTCGTCGTCACCAGCTTCATCATCACTCCCTTCATTAGACTTTACTACTTCCTTACCAACCAGTACTACTTGGGCTAATGGCTATTTGTTACCCTACACTAATAATAGTAACAACACTAATAATAATACAAGAAATGATAATATTTTCCAAAACCCTAGTAATAATAATAATAATAATAATGCTCAACAGTCTTTAAATGAGACAATAGCTGCCGTAGCTACTAAGGCAATTGCATCAAACCCTAATTTCCAGTCAGTTTTGGCAGCAGCAATCTCATCCTATGTTGGAAATAAGGCTAACAATGACCAGAAAATGGCATCGTTCCCTTCAAGTGGTGCCTTTCAATCCACGGAAAGTGGCCGGAGCTTGACATTGTTCCCTAATTCATTGCCCTTATCGACGTCGAAGAGCAATGCTTCTGTAGGTGCAGATGCAAGAGATCATATTGGGTGAAGGTTGGGATTGAGTTCCATAGTTAATTATATGCTTAATTGGTGTGCATTTTAGCATTTAGTTGTTTCCCCTTTACTTTTTTTTATTTTTTGTGTAGACCTTTTTTTTTTTTTTTTTTTTTGTGATACAAAACTTCCAAGTACATAAACATACTTCCTTTTGTACAATTATGTTTCACTTTATTTAGATGATATCTTCACTATTTTGGCATATTTACTATGCATAAAAATTGTCAGTATCTCAAAAAAATCTTATGCTGAATTTTAGAAAGTTTGACTACATAATACTCCGTATGTTTTAAAAGTTTTAACACATAAATATGTGAAAGAACGTAGTATATATGACGATGTGGTTATCACCCCAAGAAGTTCTGACCTAATTTAGGGGTGTTTCTCACTAAAACCTCACCATTTCATGTCATGGGTCAATTTAGGTAAGGTAACTTCAGGTCTTGGGTCGGAAAATGCTCAATACAACAAGTTAAAAAAAAGTATTTAATTTATTATTGGCTAATTAAAGTATTTTATTTTTCAAGCTTTCTCTTTCAATTTTGTTTTTCGGGCATTATCACTAATATTAATTTTAGCCATCACATTCTAATACATATGTATATTCTAAATTGTCATCAAAACGCATCTAATTCCTAACTAATCAAAATGATAATAAAATGGGTCTAGCTTAGGTCAGATTTGTAGGTGATCGGGCAAAAAATTGACATGTCTAAGACTCTACAGGCTCTTTTGAGCTGTATTTCTACTATGCTGAAATTTGCCCTACTTTACTCCATTATGTCTGAAGCTTAAAAAAAAAGCCCCTAAATATACATAATCATGAATTGAATCCTCATATAGAAACAAGATTAATACCTTGATAAGGACAAAACTGTTGATAAGTATATCTTATTTAGTTGGTGTATATACCCTTCAACTTACATCAGGAACTTTTCAAACGATGACATTGCGGCTTTGCAAAACATTGACCAGTATTTTGTTATGAAAATTAAGTTTCCTATCACATAAATACATAATTGGTCAGGTAACGTGCAATACCAAAGCTGTTAGAGAAGAATAATATTCCCTCCATGCCATTTGGGACGTAAAGTTAATCAGTCACATATATACTCTAGTATGGACTATAGAGTAACTTTATCTGTATTTTTTTAATCCATAGACAATTTTTTCTCTATTTCTTATTACTTGCAGCGTTTTCCATTTTACATTTGTCACTGCATGTGTATTTCAAAATTAAGTAAAAATAAATTGAGATGAATCTAACAAAACCCTATATAACTATGTATATTTTAATAAAAATCATTAAGGAAGATCAAAATGAAATATGTAATAGGGCAAAAGTTAAATTATTATATTGCAACCAAATAAAATAAATGCCAATCAATAACATCGCGAAGGATAGATTGGACCATAGAATTTTAGACCTATCAACAGACTAAGTGAGCCAATCCATTTGTAGTCAATGCCAGGGTATCAAGGACACTTGTAAATTGTAATTATATATGTATGATAATGATGGACTTCAGTTTGTCAAGTTTTGTTATCTCCGACCTTGTGCAAGACAGTGACGATTAAAATTTATGTATATGAAAAAAATAAAATAAAATAAAAAAATCCCAACAGATAATATTTTTCTGGTTTGTCATCAAAAGTAATTATAAGTATTTATGTATATTACTCTGTACTTCGTATTATTAAATAGAACTAAGTGCAACTCCAATCACAAGTTTTTATGCCACATAAGATTTTAGACTAATCCCTTTAGCCCTTGTAGTTATCGAGTCCAATTTGTATAGTTTGGGTTACTCCAAATTTGAATGGAACCAGGATATTGATTTTTTCGATTCAAAGGTCAATCTTGTTTGAATGTTAATCATGAGTATTAGTTTATTTTGAATTGGTTCAATATAGATTAGATGAATATTGGGTCACATAAGTCTTCAATAAATAACACAGAGTAGCCCTCAAAAAAAAAAAAAAAAAAAAAAAAAAAAAAAAAAAAAATAACACGGAGTAAATTTATTACTACACTTGGGTATGTGTAGGGCAACACAAGGATACGGGATACTCTTTGTCTATGTGATTTACTAATGATATACTCCATAACATTTGGAAGAAGAGAGACACAAACGTTTGAAAAAAGACCAAAGTAAGAATCCCACATGACAATCTTCGCCAAAGTAATAGTTACTAAGTTAAAACTAAGGGCATGTATATGATAGACTACAGGTTCAAATCCCCCCATCCCCCATTTGTAATTTATATCATCCTTATTCCATCCATTAGGGCTCTTTCGGAAAAAAAAAAAAAAAAAAAAAAAATTATGTACTGTAAAAGGATTTTTTAACTAGTATTTTTTTTTTCCATACGGGGAACAGATTAGCATGTCTCATGACTTCATGAGAGTCATGACTTTTACCGATGCAATATGGGCTGTGCCTGTCTCAAAGTCCAGTTTATGATGGATTACCGAAGGCCCATTGGGCCTCTCTAGTGAAAACCCAAAATATCTAGGTAATTGACACTTGTACAAAGAGACACGTGGAAAACAGGCAATCCTGTGGGTGGTAACAAACTATTAGTCAGAATTCAGAACAAACTGCTAATTTTGGAGGACAGTGAATAAAAAAAAAATTATCTTTCAGTTTCTTCCATTTTATTTTATTTTAATCTATAAATTTTTATCATCTTCTTTCTTAATATTGCTGGCAATTATTTCTGCAACAGGTATCATCAATCTCTAAAACTATTTCTTATTAAATTATTAGTGTTATATATCATTAGATGTGTCTGTTTGATCTTATAATTTGAAATTAGATAGTATTTTGAGAGATTGCCTATAATATTGCCGTATTTGTCCTCATTTTCGTATCCGTTTCCGTGCAGCCTGCCTAAACTTTGCTACTTGTATGATATATGATGCATGTTCAGTTCAATGAATCATGAGTTATATGTAGGAACAAAATAAAATCCTTTATCATAATCATGATACGGTAATAATAATAATTGTGCCAAAAAGAAAGTTATCAGTCGGATGTTATGAAATAAACATAATCAAATTTATATTTTATAGTACTATGGTTTTATTTATGATGTTTTCTGAATGATTTTGTTCCAATTTTACAAACTGCAGAAACTATAAATCTGATACTATTGTATAAGCCAAGTGAATGAGTTATTATCACCAACTGTAAAAATTGAGATGAGATATTGGTTGTTGTTTTAGACATGGATAAATCAGATGAGAAAACGATGGAAACTGCAACAACAGTGAGTTATGATGCTTACTTTGAGACGATTCAGAGTAGGAAAAAACTGTCCGCTTCCTTACAAGAGACTTTCACTGCTGCATTTGCCAGCATTCCTGTTTCATCCTTCCCACAAGTTCCTGGTGGCAAAGGTAACAGGTTATTCATAACACAGCTAAATTTTACATTACTGAGACTCGGGTACTTGTGTCGGACGTGGGTATGTGTCCAAGTGGCTGACTTGACTATTTTGTGAAAATTTCCTGAGATTTTTACCCAAAATGAAGTGTCAAAGCGGTCATACCCAAGATCCAATACGGGTACTTGTGATGAAATGAAAAGTCCGAGTAACATAAATTGCATTGCTTTTATTTTGCAGTGATAGAAATCTCAGCGGAAACATCCATATCTGATGCTGTAAAGATACTTTCTGAATGCAACATACTCTCAGCTCCAGTAACGAATCCGGATAAAGCTGACAGCAGTGATTGGAAGGAGAGGTATCTTGGGATCATAGACTATTCAGCGATCATATTGTGGGTACTAGAAGGTGCTGAGCTTGCTGCTGTAGCTTTATCTGCTAGTTCAGCTACAGCTGCTGGAGTAGGGGCAGGTGCAGCAGGGGCTCTAGGAGCAGTGGCACTAGGTGCTACAGGCCCAGCCGCGATTGCTGGGTTAACAGTTGCAGCAGTTGGGGCAGCCATGGCAGGTGGCTTTGCAGTGGACAAAGGGATGGGAAAGGATGCTCCGACAGCTGCTGATCAGTTAGGTGATGATTTCTACAAAGTGATTCTACAAGAAGAACCATTCAAGTCAACCAAGGTATGTTTATTAAGGTTCATTCTGGATGACTTTTTATAGCTGCCAAAATCTGGTATTGATACATTTATGACAGAGTTATCATATATTTATTTGTGTTAACATACTTTTAACTAAGCTTTACACATTCTTAAAGAGTTATTGGCACCCAAAAAATGTCTATATCTGGGAAATTCTGTTGACATCTGCTTGCATTTCCATTTATCCTTCATATAAAGCCTTGTGTCCTGTACATATCTTTGGCTTTGCAGGTCAGGGAAATTGTTAAGTCATTCAGATCCACACCATTCCTTCCAGTTTCAACTGAAAGCAATATGTTAACAGTTTTATTGCTTTTATCGAAGTATAGAATGAGAAATGTACCAGTAATTGAACCAGGGAAGGCTTTTATGAAGAACTTCATCACTCAATCTGCTGTTGTGAGAGGCCTTGAGGGATGTGGTGGACGAGATTGGTTTGATTGCATTGCTGCCCATCCCATTTCTGAATTGGGCCTTCCTTTTATGTCACGCGATCAGGTGTTTTCTTTTGCTGTCTTGAAGTCACCCTCTCTCACTTATTATGGCTGTTAAATACTAGATACATAGTGGAATAGCGGTTTAGTACTGTAATATGTTTTAAAGAATACCTCCTGTTGGCAGGTTGTAAGCATAAACAGCAGTGATCTGATTTTGGAGGCGTTTAAGCGGATGAAGGACCACCACATTGGTGGCCTTCCAGTTGTGGAGGGACCAAAGAAGAAGATCATTGGTAATTTGAGCATGAGAGATATCAGATACTTGTTACTCCAGCCCAATCTTTTCTCCACCTTTAGGTATTTTGTTTAGCGAAAAGTTCAATTGGATCCACAGCATATTTCATGTCCTTGGCTGTTATTATCCATAAGTCCATAAGTACCCCGTATTAGAAAACATGAAAAATCATCATAAAGTAGTAAGAGTCAAACAAATGGATATATACTGTACGGGAAATGGAATCAGCCAAGGAGTGGAAAAGGAAAAGAAAAAAAGTTTTGCAGCGCAGGAAAAAAGATAAGATACTTCGTATGTTATAAAATTTTAACCTTAAAAGTCTGGGATAAATTAGAAGCAAAATGAATTATCACTAGATTAAGAAGCTGACCAAATCTTTAATTAGTTAGTAATTTCACAATTATAATAACCTTAAAATTAGCTAGTCAAACACCAAGGTTTTGTATAAAGAAAAATATGAGTGAATTATTTATTCTTGATCAGCTCATTTCCTGTATATTTCTTTTCTATGATCTCAGCTGCAAATTGGATATGTGGTTAGTTCTCACAATCTCTTGTCATTTCAGGCATCTTACAGTAAATGACTTCATGAAGACAGTTTCCTTGATGAGCCAAGAGGAAGGGAAAGTTACCCAACCGATAGCATGCAAGACGAACACCACCCTTGGCGATGTTATCCACAGCTTGGCTTCCAAGTCAGTTCACAGGATTTATGTGACAGCTGAGGAAGATGAAGTTGTTGGTGTTATTACACTTAGAGATGTTATTTCTTGCTTCATCTATGAACCTCCAAACTACTATGATGAATACTTGGGTTATTCTGCAGAGGAGTTGCTCGAGAAGTGAAATCTCTTTTTTGTTTTTGATTAAATTAAATGCCTATATTTTTGCCTTGTAGAATTTTGAGTTGCAAGCCTTGCAATTGCTCAAGTTACACATTGTCTTATCAATATACTATTAGTTGATACAAGAAGTTTTTACATACCTAGTTATTCAACGTCGCTTGGCGCATCCAGTAAGTTTCTTTTGTAGTACTTTGAGGAGTATATTTCAATCCAACATACCGGCACAGAAGAAATTTCATTTTGAAGTACATCAGAATGTTCTGTCACTTGTTGCCTTACTCGAAAATATAAAAATAGGCATAACAGAGCAAAGCATGTTAAACATCCAAATGCTTCGTAAGCAAAATCAATGTTATCGAACACATAGGAGCATTGTACTGCAATTCTCCTAAGAATATTTACCTTCAACCGTTCAAAATCTTGTGGCATTTCAAAGAATAGCAGAAAAACCATTTACAGTGGACCTTAAATCTTGTGCACATTAAGCAGTGAAATTTCCATTTTCAGTGGCATTTGCTTCCCCTAGTTCAGTTGACTGTCGAAAGTTTTCAAGAACTCTTCACGAACTGCAACGTCTTTCTGTTAATTGGATTCTTCATCTTCCTGCTATAGCAGAATAGGCTGATAGCCTTTTGGTAATTGTGGCGTCTCTGGTTGCCTGTCAGGGTAAATATGAGGATCATTTCAGGTTATTTGTACACTATAGCCAGGATATTTCTCCAGTCCCTTCACATCAATCATCTTCCTGATTCTCTCAACATCCTCCCACCTACCCATTGCTGCATATACATTAGACAAAACCACGAATGTAGCTCGATTTCCAGGCTCCAACTCAGAAAGTTCTTTTGCCATATCTTCACCAAGTTTTGGATCCAAATGGTGCCCTGCAGCACCAAGCAATGAAGAATACACAGAACTAGAAATCTCAGGGATTTCTTGTATTAATTCATGAGCTTTCTGAAGGTGTCCAGATCGACCCAACAGGTCAATGATACAAGCAAAATGCTGCTGAGTTGGTATCAGGCCATACTCTGTAGTCATCATCTCAAATACCTGTAACCCTTTGTCAAGTTGACCTGCATGACTGCAGACAGTCAGCAGGTTAGCAAAAGTGCTGCTATTAGGCCCGACATTCTCTTTCTGCATTAGATTGAAAATTTCAAATGCAGAATCTTCTTCGCTATTTCTTCCATATCCTGAAATCATTGCATTCCAAAAAGCCGGGTCGTCAGGCTTATTTTTGTAGTGGTCAAAAATCTTGCGCGCCCAAGAAGATTGCCCACACTTCATGTGCATGTCGATGAGAGCAGTAGTGAAGAACTCATCGTTACTGATATCAGCTCTTATGGCAGCTGCGTGAATCTGATTTCCCAACTGCAGAGATGAGATCATGGAACATGCATCCAAAAGGCTAGTAAGAGACTTCAAACTTGGAGCAATTCCTTCTGATACCATCACAGTGAAGAACTGCAATGCGCTCTCATATTTTCCTTGTTTTGAAAATCCACTGATCATTGTATTCCAAGTGGCCGAATCTGGTACCAATCCTTCAGATTCCAATTCAGAGAACAATTTAAGGGCAGCATCACAATTACCAGTCAAGAACATACCGGCAATGATTGAGTTCCACGTAATCAGATTCCTATTACCCTTCATTTCTCTGAATACATGGTAACCAGAGCAAGAGCCACATTTAGTATACATGTCTACAAGTGCAGTTCCTACCATAATGTCAAACTGTAATCCAACTTTAACAGCAACCCCATGAACTTGTCTTCCAAATCGAAGATTAGTGACATTGGAACAAGCACCCAAAACTGTAACCAGAGTAACTGCATTAGGTCCCTCACTGGAAGTCTCAAACATACCCTTAAACACCTTCAAAACAACGCGATAAACACCATTCTGAACTAATCCAGACATAAAAGCATTATAGCTAACCACATTCTTGTAGTTCATCATTCCAAACGCTTTCGTGGCCGAGACAACTTCGGAACAAATCATATACATTGTCACAACCCCAGTCGCGACATAAACATCCCTTTCAACACCAATCTTTACAGCCCAACAATGAACTTGACTACCATTCTCAACAACATCACAAGCTGACAAAACACTAGCAATCATAACCGAATTAGGCCTACACCTCTTCAACCCAACCTCTCTAAAAACCACAAGAGCTTCTCCAAAATACCCATTCTGAGCAAACCCAGAAATCATAGCATTAAAAGAGGCCTCATTTCGTTGAGGCATTTCATCAAACACCTTGAGTGCATATTTCACTTGTCGAAATTTCATGTACATATGAGTAAGTCCAGTTGCAGCGTATGTATCGCAGTAAAACCCAGATTTAATGAGATGGGTATGAATGATTTGGCCTTGAAGAGGATAATTGAGCTTGGCACATGATTTAAGAAGACATGGGTAGGAGAAATGGTTGATGGGTAAAGAAGAAGAACGAAGGTGTGAATATAAATGTAAAGCTTGTTTGTAATAACCATTTGTGACAAACTTTGCTATATTATGACTCATATGCAACACTGAAAAAGCTCTGAGCCATCAAATTTGATGTTTCTGCTTACTGCTGAGTTCTTAAACTGCAGCTCCAGATTGAAGTTTTTTTTAAACTACACGGTAACTTACTTTTTTATTTTTATTTTTCTAATTTTAAATTCGATGATTATTTCATAATACACCAATTTTTATATGTGGCTGAGAAAACCATTAGGCTCGTTGATGTTATAAGTATAAGGGTTACGAGGTCATCCCAGTCAATGAGGCTGATTGATGAAATATTGTAAATTAGTCTCTTTTTGTGGGCCAACTTTGCAATATAATATACGAAGTACTTTTTAATTTAAAAAAAAACTTAGATCTAGCATCACGATTCACAGTGATGAACCACCACCATCTTCGTTTACCCCCTGTCATCTCGTCGGTCATTATTAGTCATCGCGTCCCTCTTCTTCTTCCCTTCTTCCTCCTTCCTCCCGCTTTGCGACGGTGACAAAAAGACACCCTAGTAGCAAAAGGGTGTAAATTAGGGCCACATCAATCCCTTAGGAGTAGCATCTTATTCGTGGAAGCAATTTTAACCACCTTAGGTGGTGATGTATGTGATGATTGATGGAGGAGGAAGAAGAGAGGAAGAAAGTGCAGTGAGCTATAATGGAGGAGGAAGAAAGGGAAGAATGTACAAACTTGCCCCCAAATAAAATAAGTGAAATGTCTTATTTGATAAATCAGGCTCATGAACATGTATTTCCTCAAGGGTTACTCAATTTGTATTATAGGGGTAATTTCGTTAGTGTTATGGGGGTTAATCGGTCAATATTACATTGTTACTCTATCAGTGTTATAGAGGTTATTTTGTTATTTTACAAGCGGTCACATGGTGAGACTAGCTGCACACAAAACAAGCTGTTCAAAATAATCCAACATTTGATACCCAATTACTCGTAACAAGTTACCAACCCATTGTAACCGGTGCAAATCTAATTGTCACTTCCTTATTGGTTTAAATTTCTTCGATTCTTAATTTGAAAAAGATTTTAATTTTAATTCTATTTCTACTTCTAATTTAATATTTTAATTTTAATAATTAAAGTTAATCTAAAAAAACAAAAAATCTTGAATAAGGCGAATTTTCATTTTTTATTGTAAGCCCGGTTAAAATTACTCTTGTAGTCTTATATTTTATGTTACCATTTGTTTTAAAACAATATATACTAAATGAAAACCCGTGGGATGCACGGTTATTTCATACATAAATCGCAAGAAAATATATTTTTCTTAGTTAGATAGACTATAAGTTTTTTTTAATTATTTGATTTATTTTACTATTTAATGATTTCAAACAAAAAAATAATAATACCTTTGCTTATGTGGCGCGCCAAATGCTCTCGAAAAATGCCTACTTTATGTATATAACTAGTTTTATTCTCGGGCGATGCTCGAATTGTTGATAAAATTTTAGGATAAACCTTTTGGTTTGAATGTTAAATATGGTCAAATAAACCCTTTTGATAATGCAAAATAGTAGTACCATTTACCGTTTATTGCTTCCATTGTTCTTAAAATAAGCTGAAATAAAAATAAATAAATTATTGTAACGCTTTTTAAGTGAAAAACCCGTAAAGTTCTAAGACCTTGCTAACATGGATCTGAATTCACTTCAAGATTCCATTGTATTGTACAGTTTCTGTTGTGTCCTAATTTTAGTAGTTTTTTATTTCTTTAATTTCGTCAACAAAAATCATAAACATACACAAAAATATTACAACCGAATATGAAGAATACCTGATTTAAAAGCTTTAAATGTAAATCAATGGTATACTAAAAAAAAATTAATGATACATGGCCATATTTATAATTATAATTGCGTGGTTATTCGTACAGGAATATAATTCTATTGTTAATTGGATATTCATATTAATTATAATATTTTTCCCCTTGTGAGGAGGTCTTCCTAATGTTATTTTCCTTACCTTAAAAAAATATTAATTATAATATGTGGTGTGTTAACAAATCTATCCAATCTAATCACAATAGTATCTATTTGTCGTCTACGCTTGACACTTGGCGAAACTGGAATGCCAAGTGTCGTTGTCTTGTGGCCTCGCTGCGAGACCGGCTTTATTTATTAGTGATATGATACTAGAATGTCAAGTGTCACTGTCTAGTGTCCTAGCTGCTAGATCTGGTTTTATTTATTAGTGATATGATAATAGATTAATTAGTAGTGCAATTTTGAATTGTTGATTAAAAACAATAAATATTACTAAAAAAAATTTAAAAAGATAAAAATTGTCTAAAAAATACCGTTGATGATGAAGTCATGGATTATATTTTTTTTTATTGAGTAATTAAAAAATAGGATAGGATGGTATTAAAAAAATAAAAAATAAATAAATAAGTGTAATTTGGGAAAGTCAAACTAATCACCCAAAAACCCTCTTCTCTTCAAATATTACTTTAGATAATATTGTAAAAATAATTTAAGTTAAATACATATTAAAAACTAGCTAAGTATTTTTCAAAAAAAAATATGTTAAGCACAAAATTTCTAAGTTTTTGTTCAGTGAAATAAGTTAAATTCAGCAAAAATAAGTTCAATTAAGTAATACGAAGTATATCTTTCAAAAAAAAAACTAATACGAAGTAATGTTTTTTTTTTTTATTTTTTTTTTATTTTTTTTTAGGAAAAGCGAGGGAATCATATTCATTTATTTAAGGACAAATTGTCCATAAGTACATATGGAGCAATGTCACTAGGACAACAATTAGACCAAATTTGCTCAACACTATAAGGAATAATACGAGCTAGATGGTGAGCAACAAAGTTCCCTTCCAGCTTTACATGAGACCAAGAAATATAATCAAAAAAGGTGCAAGTATCTCAGACATCATTAAGTAAGGAGTCTAAATTCGAAAGGTAAGTGGAAGTTTTCGAAAGCCTGGAAATAATTGTGTTGTTATCTGACTCGAGGATGATGTATGCTACCTCGCCAACTGAACAGCAAAGATAGCAGCTTTGCATTCGGCTAGCTCAGGGGACCAGAATGTCTTGTATCTTTGAACACCGGCAAAGATAACTTCTCCCAGGTGATTGCGATCAACCACACCAAGTCCAACCTAACCTTCAACATTCAGAACTGCATCACAGGTTACTTTGATGCAGCCATGTGGGGGGGGGGGGGGGGGGCTTCTAGATCTTCGAGCTCTTGGGTGGTTTTCGGGCCTTTGCAACCATATATCTTTGCGTTGTACTTGTCATAGTCTTCTACCAGGTTAGTCATGCGCATAAGAACAGTGTTGTGGGAAGTCTCCTTATTGTTAAAAACTTTGTTGTTGCGCCTTAGCTTTCCCATATTAACCATAGAAGTGCTGCTCCCCTTTGCTAAGTCTTTTAATTCTCACAGCCCCAAGCTTCAAACAGGTCTTTGAAGTCAGGAAACTCATCCAACTTAACAAGCTTTTCACAATTGGCTTCACTCCATAGATCACGGACAGCAGCGCGAGTAAAGAAAGCATGGTGCAGGGTCTCGCTTTCAGTCAAGCACCAGGGGCAGTGATCTTCATCTGTCATATGCTTGTGCTTCAAGAGAGAACGAACGGGAAGTGAGCTGGTGCAAACCCGCCATAGTAGGTGTCTAACCTTGGGGGTAGTTTCAAGCTGCCACAAATTAACCCAAGCATGATGAAAAAGATCCAGATTGCAAGATTTTCCCAACATATATGCGGTTTTAACATAGTACAAACCATTGTTGGAGTAGGCCCAAGTAAGATTGTCATCCGGATTTCTCAAGCATAGGGGGATCGAGAGAATACACTTGATGTCACGCTCATTAAAAATGTTATTAGCCAGCAGCTCATGGTTCCAATCCATGACATCAAAGTCTATAAGATCACTTACATAATTGACCAAATCAGATCGTGGAGACAGAATTCTCGAACCACTCTCATCAGCAACCCATAAATCATCCCAGACATTAATGCGACTGCCATTCCCAACTCGCCTAATAAGACCTTCTTTAACCAAATCCTTGGCACCCCAAATGCTTCTCCATGAATAGCTACAAGAGAGACCCAGAGAGGAGTTCAGGAAATCACTATGAGGAAAATATTTTTTACCCAAAACTCTACTTAAAAGTGAATCCGGACTTGAAATAAGCCTCCAATCCAAGCTTGCTTCCCAAGCATCGCCTCATTGAAAACCGCCATATCTCGGAAGCCTAGACCTCCTAGCATCTTCGGATTGCAAAGGGAATCCCAATTCACCCAGTGAACTTTCCGGCGATTATTAGAGTGACCCCACCAAAATTTCGCAGTCAAGGATCTGATATCATCAATGATGGTAGTTGAAACTCTATAGACCCCCATAATGTAAGATGGAATCTCTTGGATGACAGATTTTATGAGGGTCTCCTTTCCGGCTTGAGACAAAAGTTTCTCTTCCACCCTTGCAGTTTCTTCCAGATTCTATCCTTGAGGGCACTAAACACCGCTTTCTTAGACCTCCCAATGATTGTCGGAATGCAAAGATACTTCCCATGTTCATCTACAAGTCTCATTCCCAAGAAATCCATAAGATCTTTTTGCACTGACTCACATACACCTTACTAAAAGAGACCTCCGATTTTTCATAATTAATTTTTTGTCCGGAAGCTGCTTCATATTTGTTGAGTATATCAACTATCTTGGAACATTCTCTTAGGTTGGCTCTAGAAACAAGCAAACTATCGTCAGCAAAAAAAAGATGGGAAATTTCGGGACTATTTTGGCTAGCTCGAGCACCATGAATATCACCCTACGATACGACCTTGGTAATGAGGCGAGAAAAAGCATCTGCGATCATAATAAATAAATACGGAGAGAGCGGATCGCCTTGCCTCAAGCCCCTCGACGGCTTGACATCCCCACAAACTAGGGATGTTCAGATCCGGGTACCGAGGTTTTCGGGTACCCAAAAAGGCAAGTACCCGGATCTTGGGTAGTTAGAAACTTGGCCCATGACCCGAACCAAGAAGATCGGGTACCCAGGTTTCGGGTACTCGGTTTTCTCGGGTCGGGTCATAGGGTACCCGATTATATTTTTTAAGAAAATATTATGTTTTTACAAATATTTTAATATAGCCTTTTCTTCCAACTTCTAAAAATCACAAGCTGATTGAAATCATGTCATTAGAATCACTATCGTATGTTTGGTAATTTTCTAATTATTATAACAATAATACAATAATAAATTAATTATAATTACAAAAAAAGCCAAAAAATCAACCACAATCAAAATCGAGCATAAATCTCAAACTTTTACACCCCAATGAATGACAAAACCACAATTAATTAATAAAAAACTAATGAAATCAACTCAAATTGATAATTATAATTATAATTGTCCAACTGAACCCTAAAGGCCGTATAGGTGCAAATCTGTTGGACATCAAGCGAGCGGTCGCCGGAGAAGAGATGAGATAAGATCTAAGAACAAAAACTAACTGAATCCTACCGTTTTCACTCGCAATTTACTTCCTTGCTATTTCAAGCATGATAATGTCTCCTCTTTCGTTCGGAGAAGACGATTCCCGCGCCTCATCGTGGAGAAGACAATGCTCGCGCCTCGTCGGAGTAGCTGTTGCCGTCGTGGAGCTGTGAGATAGTGATGGTCTAAGAAAAGGGGTGAGGCTGCTGTGAAATAGCGAGGGAGTGAGGAAAAATAAAAGAGAGAGAAAGTTGAACTAGGAAAAGCAAGGGGGTGGCTGCAAATGCAATCAGTAAACCCTAGTTCAGTAGTTCTGGCCCATGACCCGAAGTATTTCATGGGTCAGGTACCCAACCCGAAAAAAATGGGAAAATTTTCTAAAATACTCGTCGGGTATCTTCCGGGTAGTCGGGTAGTCCGGTCGGGTCAAGCGGGTCGGGTTTTTTTTTTTAACACCCCTACCACAATCAGCACCATTAATAACAAAAGAGTAGGAGACCGTCGAAACACAACTCATAACTATCTTCACCCAGAAATCTGCAAATTCCATTTTTAACAACAATTTCTCCGAAAAAGACCATTCCACCCAGTCATAAGCCTTGCTCATGTCCAGCTTCAAAGCTATCGTCCCTTTCTTACCTTTGCTCCTTTTTTTCATAGAATGAAATAATTCCAGGGCTATAAGGGCATTTTTTAGCAATCAATCTCCCCGGAACAATGGCACTTTGATTTTCAGAAATAATATCAGGAAGAATAGACTTCAAGCGCATCACAATAGCCTTAGAGGCTATTTTATATAGTACATTACAAAGAACAATCGGCCTAAATTCAGTCATATTACGAGGATCTTTTACCTTGGGAATCAAGACAATATTTAATTTGTGCAATTAAATTCTGCGGGAGAGACACAACCATGAAGAATGTTGCACATGATCGTAGCAATGTCATCCCCGATAATATGCCAGAATTTTTGGTAGAAAATTGTGTGAAGTCCGTCGGGTCCCGGAGCTTTGCAGGGGTGCATCTCACAAATTGCGGAGTAAATGTCTTTCTTTTTGAAAGGTCGGAGAAGTTGAGCATTATCATCATTAGTAATATAAGGAGTAATGGTATAAAGAACTTCATCACAGAAAGCTTCTAATTACGGGCCTGAGGCAAAAAGTTTGGAGTAGTAGTCTTGAACTATACCCTCAATTTCCTCTTCTTCTGTACACCACTCCCCCCTCACATTGTGTAATTCCAGAATTTCATTTTTCTTTCTCCGTTGGGAAGCCTTATGATGAAAATACTTCGTGTTTTTGTCTCCGTCTTTTATCTCAGCCGACCCCGATCTCAAATACCAGTAAGCCTCCTATTGTTCATACACTGCATCGAGCTTTTTTTTCAAATTTTGCCCCTAGCCGGATATTAGACCTGACATTGCTCCTCTTGCACGGCTTTGAGCTGTTGCTCCAGGTCATCGATTTGTTTATTAAAATTAACAAATCTTTTACCACTCCAGCTTCTCAAGGAACCTAGCCTTCCCAACCAATCCAACATAAGACATCCCTTAGAATCCTTCCATGTTTGCCTAACAACCTGATCATACTCAGTATCAAGGAGCCAAGCTGTCTCGAATTTGAAGGATTTCTTCCCTCTTTTGCATTTTCGCTTAGGCCACTTCTGTCTTATCAGAATAGGGATATGATCAGACTTGAACCTAACAAGGTGTTCCACATAAGAGTCCAGAAACAAAGATAACCATTCATCATTTCCACAAAAACGTTCTAGCCGCTCACGGACAAGAGTAGAAGAAGTGCGACCTCTTTCCCACGTATACCATTGGCCTTCGAAACCCAGATCACGCAAATTACACTCATCAAGAATAGCACGGAAGTCTTCTATAGTTCTACGCTCATTATCAGTGCCCCCGTCTTTCTCATTCATGATGAGGATTTCATTAAAATCACCCCCAAATAAAATTGGACCATTAATCTTCTCACAAAGAGATTGAACAAGAAGCCAGGTCTTAAATTTTTCAGCAGCAGCCGACCAACCATAAATGCCAACAAAATACCAAATTAAATATGCTTGTATTACTTTACCACAAATGTGGTGATCAAAGAAAGAAATAAGTTCAAAATCAATAATACTACTATTCCAGTACAAACATAAGCCTCTGGAGAGACCCGCACTACTCACACCAAAAGCACAATCAAGCCTAATCTATGCTAAACATTTTCTGAAGCGACCTCATTAATCATAGTCTCAGTAAGAAAAACAAGATTAGGGGCTAGAGAAGCACACCAATTGCGAAGTGCGCCTACAACTTGAGGATTGTCTAGTCCTCGAACATTCCAGAAAAGGGTATTCATGGCTTTTCGAGGGGTTGGTTCATCCCAACTCCCTCTACTTGATTTACTTTCACATGCTTTATTAATTTTTGCCCCAAAAAAACATACTCTTATTAATTTTCACATATTATCCGCAAATTTTTTTTAAAAAAATTATGTTAAAATATTGCGAGTATTTAGAAAATGAATAAACAAAATTCGTATTTCCACTACGAGCACTCTCGGTTACAGCTTGGTTTGGTGATCTCATTCCCATATATAATTCCAATATTCTCTCTCCTCTTTTCTCTTTCTTTCTAATCGATCAATGTATTTTCATTTCTAACACCGCGTTTTCTCACCTCCCTTCATCATCTTCTTCTTGTTCTTCTTTTTATCTCTCTAAAATCCCTAATTTCTCAGCTATATCCCCCAATTCTGAGCTCCTTTCGTGATTTCTTCTCACTTTTATCGCCGCGTTTGATTCTCAGGTATAATCGAATTTTATCGCCTTTTTTTTTTTAATCTTTTTTTAATTTTGGTCGAATTAATGCTTGTTCTTGGCTCTTTTATGAGTAAATTGTTAATTTGTTTTTGATGAAAGTTAGTCTTGGTTTTAGTAAAGTTTAGTTTTGATTAGGTTTTTGTTTTTTCTTGTTCAACCCTAATTTGATATTTTTTCAAAGAATCATTTTCCACTTTTTTTGTAACGGGTGTTATGTTGTTGTGAATTAAAAATTGAAGTATGTCGTAGATCTGATTGTTTGTTTTTGATGATAAATATACAGAATAAGTAAATTTTGGGGTGATTAATTAGTTGTTGAAAAGTAAGCAAATTTTTGTTTACAAGAAGGTTTTCTATTTGAATGATGAAAACCTAACTAGTTATTACTTTTTTCCAGCTTTTGTTTGCAAGAAGAATTTATAACTTGTTGGAAGATTGTGATTTTCCATTTCAGTAATCATTTTAAAGTAGTAAATGATCGAATTTCTTTGGAAAAGAGGTCATTTTAAAGTAATAAATGGTTCATTTTCATTGGAAAAGAGGATTTTTGGTATGACTAAATAGTGATCTTGATTAGCTTATCACGAACTGAGGCCCGAAATTCTCTGATTAGTTAACTTTTCAGCTTGTTTTGAGGGTTTTCTTGTTGGCATATTGTGATTGTTCATCATGGGAAAATATTTAATGCTATTAGGTTAGAATTGGTTAAACCCTAGGAAATAGTTCTTGTTAAATTGAAGTGCCTCTTTACGTATTTTGAGTTTTTTTTTTTTTTTTTTTTTTTTTCTTCTGTGCTAAAGCTATTCCCTTGGTTAATGTTTTAGGCGGTGAGGATGTCTACTCCAGCAAGAAAGAGGTTGATGAGGGATTTCAAGCGTCTGCAGCAAGACCCACCAGCTGGGATTAGTGGTGCTCCTCAAGATAATAACATCATGCTCTGGAATGCAGTTATATTTGGGTAGGCATAAAATGTTATCAAAGTTTTTAGCAGGTTTTTTAATTTGCAACTTTGCAAGAGAGAAACACAAATATTGTCTAATGGTTTTCTCTTTTTCAATTTGATTGCAGTCCTGATGACACCCCTTGGGATGGAGGTAAGGAGGAACTCTGGAGCAATCTATTTAATATGGTTTATTCATGTCATAGTATAGTTATGGTTTGTTCGACGTAAAATCAAACGTGCTGATTATGTTGTTCACAACTATTATGCCATTTGTTAATCTTCTGTTATGTTATGTTATTTTTTTCACTTCTGAACCACAATAGCATTATTAAAGCCTTAATCTAAAGAGATGGGGTCAGCTACTCAAACCCAAATAACAGATCCTTCTCCATCATTCACTCCAATCCGATGCAATGTGATTCTTCATTTACTGTTTTTTACCCTTTCCGTCCTAGCCATCCTTGGTCTATCTCAACTTTTTTTTTTCTATCGCCAAACACTTTGACATCTCCGTATTCCAGACTTCTGCATGCTGATGTTGGCGTTGGATATGCCTGAAGCCCTGAACCATATCAATCTGTTCTTTGTTTCTTCCTCAAATAACTCTCATTAACCTTCACATCACCACCACATTCATCTTTGAACACAGATGGACATCGGTTTATGGAACTCCTATTTCATGAGAAAGATCTTCTGAACCTGATTTTTCTTCTCTCTTCTAGTTCACAATATTGATTAGGTTCGATATAGTTCCTAAACTGCAGCTTTCTCATATTGAATGCATGATTTACTCGTGGGACACGTGATGCTGTGCTCATTCAATACCGTTTTATTATAACTGTTAATGTTCGTGTATTGATGGCTGTTTTCTGCTGGTCATTTACAACGTCTAGTATATGGTAGATTGTACACGTGTTCTAGTGAGGAGAGGATCTAAGGAGTATCTTGTTATTCACAGATATTACTTTTTCATTCTTCAAGATGTATGTATTAGTGTGGTACTTCAAAAAACTGCTGAAGTGTTTAGCGGAAGCTATGTTACTCTGACACCCTGATGTACATCGAGTGTCGGATCCTCTTGACACTTCGACACGTATGACACCCAAATATATAATGCCCTTATACAAGATTTTATAAAATCTGGAGTGTCGAAGGATCCGACTACGTGTCCGACTGACACCAAATCTGAGTGTGCAACATAGAGCAGGAGTTTTTGTTTGAGTTTGACCATGTTTTTTTTTCTTCCTAATCTGTCTTATCTGTGTTCTTTTGCTCATTTGCTTAACTTCATGAATTCTATTCCTACTTATTTTCTGTAATTTGTTTTGAGTATGTCAGGAACGTTCAAATTGACACTTCAGTTTACTGAGGACTACCCAAATAAGCCTCCTACAGTTCGCTTTGTCTCTCGGATGTTTCATCCAAATAGTAAGTGCTAATTATTAAATTTTTATATTCAAGAAGAATGCTTGTCTTCTTGCAGTGTATTATGTTCTGCTTGTTACTGTTAAATCCCAGTTCTGGTGCTGAGCGTTTTATCTAGAGGCTTTTTGATGCATAATTGTATTGTTGTCATTTGTGTTTTAAAATGCCATTTGATCAATCGAATCTATATATTACAATTTATCTTTGGCTCGATCAGTATTTCAGTGGAAGGATAATATTTTGGAATGATTAAGAAGACGCATAGATCTTAAAAATTAAATTGTGAACAATGTCATTGCAAACAGGGATTTTAGCCTTGTATCATTAATCATGAAAGACTTGATACCACAGTATAGTTTCATTGTACTTTGGCTAGCTTGTTTTATAATGGCTAGCTTAAGATGATCTTGCATGGAGCAAGTAATAATTAATTTCTTTTTTTATCCTTAGTTGCGTATTTGCAAAGCAACACTGGCAAGCCATTCTTATATGTGGAGGATGCGAGCTAGATGCTTAAATACTCCCTCCAATTTTGTATTTGTTCTATATTGACTTTCACATTTGCCAATGCACTACTTTGTCCTTATATCTTTAATTATGTTGAATTAAAAGCTATTAAAATTTTTGAAAAACATAAATTTAGACATATGATACATATCCTGTAATATATTACGTGATAACTGATAACATTTATTTTTATATATTACGTGGTCAAAGTGATACACGTGAATAGGGCCAAGGTCAATGTAATACAATCTTAAAAAGGGAGTATATAACTTTGGTTTGCTGGGTGTGGCTCAGCTTACTCAAAGATTAATCTTCAAAAAAAAAAAAAAAAAAAAAAAAAAAGAAAAAGAGGCTTACTAAAAGATTATGCACTTTAAGTTTTATGCTGCAATTTGCTTATTGTTCTTATCCAATTAGATACTGTGCCTAATGTTTGTCTGGTCACTTTTTTCTTTTAGTACAATCATGCCATAAAAGATGATTTCTTCTTCAACAGATTTTGACTATTTTCTGCATGTATCTATTTGTCTGCTACTGCAATTTTTATATACGGTAATAAACTTGTTTTTGTTTGTTCTAACCTTGCAATGTGTATGTTTGCCTTTTTTTTTTTTTTTTTTTTTTTGGGTGGGATTTTATTAGTTTATGCAGATGGAAGCATCTGTCTTGATATACTACAAAACCAGTGGAGTCCTATATATGATGTTGCTGCGATCCTAACCTCAATTCAGGTAATGAGTTTCCCTGAACATTTGTAACTAGTTTATATTTCTTTATTTCTCTCTCTCTCTATATATATATATATATTTTTTTTTTTTTTTTAATTTCATTTTTTGATAGTGGTGATCATTTTCTTCTTGCTAATGCTTGTGATCTACTTAAGATTATATCTTCTTCCATGTTGAGTAAAAAGTTTATACCATTTTGGGAGGCAATACAACCTCTTCTTTTGAAACATTGTTGCTGTAGAATTTCATTATTTTGATGCCACAATACCATGTGTGCTGAAATATTTTGATGCCACATTATTTTCAGCTGTGCTCTATATGTATTTTGTGTAGTTGCATTTTGTTTTGATTCCTTGCTCTGGGGGATGTCATACTACCTGATATATGCCCATTCTAGTTTCTAATGAGAAAGAGTTAAAGAGAGATAATTAAAGAGAAAGAGTGAAGAAGTTTCCATCTTTTTAGGTAGGAAGTTTGATGATTCGAGTCTCATATGAGCTCGGTCTTGTAGTATTGGCCTCAATTATGATTTATGAGATCCTCCCTAGGTTCATGTAACAAGATTGTTGGGTCAGAGATTAGAATCATACATGTTTTGAATCCTCATTTTATTTAGTGTTTTGAAGAGTTCTGTTAATGAGAAGGGTGTTTGCTTATTTCTTAAAAATATGAGAAAGAAGTATGCTTATTATACTTTTATATATATATTTTTTTAAGAAAAATGGTAAGTAGCATAAACACCATGGTAGTACTGCAGTACATTTCTGATTCCAGCAAATATTTAAGAATCTCATCATCCAATTTCCCGTAATCAACTTCCTTGAAATGCTTCTCAAAAGCAAATGCCCTTCTCATCTACAATGTATAAGTGTAATAATCACACACCTTTATATAGTAATTAAATCCATCTTTCTATAGGCATGATCAGTTGTATCCTGTGAATTCAAGTTTCTAATGATTGCTACTGATGAAGGAGGTGTTTCCTGGTGGAAGGAATGTATTCAGATCAGGTGACAAATGCTGCCTGCCTTAGCATTTGTTGTTCCATTGATAAAGGCAGTTAAATGTTGGTAGTGTTCTTAGACAATTGGATGAAGTAGCCTATTTTGTGATAGGTTAATAGTGAAGATTATGGATTAAAGGAGATGTGGTGGTTTTGGTTAGTGCAATTGCATTTTTGGTTAGTGTTCTAAACAATTTGATGAAGTGACCTATTATTAAGTGGGTTTTTAGTAAAGCCTATGGAACAAAGGAGAGTGGTGGTTTTGGTTAGTGCAATTGCATGCTGAAATTGTAGTGTTTTGGATTATTTATTTATTTTTTAAATAAAGGGTAGGAAGTTATTTTATTGGAGTTGCTGTGAGATTTAATGCTTGCCTGACATCTGAAACTTTAGAATTTGCGTATTAATCTTTTGTTTCCCTTGAGTAATAGGAAAAGCCCTAGTGAATTATCCAGTATAGTTTTCAATTAAATGTTGCTCGGGGGATGAGTTGAGCTATTGATGGCGGCTGGTCTTAGGTGCAAGGATTTTGAGCTGTGAAAGGTAGGGATTGTTTTGGGTTCAGGAGATAAAGTATTTATGCATGCTGCTTTGGTAGTCGCCATGATCCTGATAAGAGAAAGACTAGATAATCAAATGAATTCTTTGAGCAGCTAGAATTAATAGAAGTTTTGTGAAGGAATTAACTCATTGATGATGGAGGTTTGCACAAATTTGCAATAGTAAATGAAGGTGCAACTCACTGTGGTTATTCCTTGTAAATGCTACCCGTAGATTGACTGGGTATCTATTTTTGTAGGATGGACTAAAGAATAAATGAGTACTAAAGGTCAAGAAAAGTAATTGCAGACAATTCAGAGCATTTTAACATTAATTACTGAGCATCAAACTGTTCTGGAACTTCTTTTAAATAGGGCATTTGCTAGATCAATGGAATTGTTTAATAATGTATATGAGGTGGTGGAATTTTGAAATTCTGCTCTCTTTTCCTTGTGATTTATTTCAGTGTTTCATGGTCAGTGTAAATATTGATGCTTATCTGAGATAGAAGTAATACATGTTTACATTTTCGAGAATGTAGGACCAGGAAGCCAAGGTTTTTATTTTATTTTTTTTATTCTGATTTGAAGGGTTTAATACACATTATTTTGAGATCAATAAGATTGCCTAGTTTTGGTGCATCCACCATCCCAGGTAAAACTGATTTGGATCACTAACTACACCTTTTATGCTATTCCCTGGGAAAACCAGGGTCTGGTCGTCCTTTTTTGTTGCCCCATTTTGGCAGCAATTGCAGAAAGCTTGTTTGTAGGTTTTTTTTTTTTTTTTTTTTTTTTTTTTTTTTTTTTTTTTTTTTGTGTGTGTGTGTGTGTGTAGTTTGAGCTTAATGGGTGGTTCCTACTTCCTAGCATTTTTAGTTCACATGTGGTTTAATGCCTTTTTTAAATAAATGATATGTGAAAAGTAAAAAAATTTGTTTCTTCTTTTGTATGTCACATGTTTATTATTGATACAATTCCTTAAGCAATATGAATTATATGTCTTCCTCTCACACACCTGTTTTGAAATCTTGTAGTCTTTGCTGTGTGATCCAAACCCAAACTCTCCTGCAAATTCAGAAGCTGCACGGATGTTCAGTGAGAACAAGCGTGAATATAATAGGAGAGTGCGTGAGATTGTTGAGCAGAGTTGGACTGCTGATTAATCCTGTGTTTGAAATATACAACCTGTGAAGAAAGTTCGGTGTCCTGTCTGAGATAAGTGACTTCAGGAGACTAGAACAAAAGGGTGAAATGGAAAACAAAAAACAATTTGTTGTGAAACTATCTGATTTATCTTATAATATCTGGACTTCTGAAGTACTTGTTCAGAAAGGAATGCTAGATCCTTGTGGATGTGTCTGTTGAACATTGCAAGTTATGTAAGTTCTGCTTTAGATTGTGTTTGATTGTTCATGTTTTAGGTTTCAATCTGAGTTTTTAGTTTTTGTCTTGTATATCAGTATATGTGAATGAAGTATTGAGCAGAATCCTGTTATGTGGTTGCTTCTGACATCCTGTATTTTCATGAAAAAAGGTGTTAGCCTTACTGTACTTGGAACAAAAGCCTGACTCTTGGGATCTTTAGGTTTGAGAACTATACAGGTGTTATATCCTATGACATCTGTAATTTAATGATGTTCATAGGATGACGGAGTAGCGTAGTATAATTTTGGCAAAATACGAATTAGGAGGGTAAAAAGAAGTGTGTGCTAAGACCTTTTTACAGTAATTTGTTAGAAGGTACATAACAGGCTTTACAGTGATTGTTATGACTTAGTAGAACTGATCCAAATTTAATGTACTCTTTAAACTAGACAACCCGAAAGTGACCCAACGTGCTATGCGACCAAAAAATTTGGACTGAAGTTTACAACTCTGTAGTGTATACGTCAATGACCTATATAGACATAAATATGGCCCTACTGATGTTGAACGTATGCAATCTGAACTAAACCAAGTATGTTTGCCACCTCTACTGTCATGAATTTTTGGTACTATGGTAGCCTGGTAGGTAGTATGTATTCTTTTTTATTTTTTTTAGAATAGAAGGGGAGATATATTAATTAAACTAAAATATCCTAGTACATGGCTAAACCAGCCCAAATCAAAATAGCTAAAGCAGCTAAATTAGAAGTACAACCAGGCATAGTACTAAATAAATAAAGGCAACAGACTAGTGAAAAATTTCTCCTTCGTAGTGAACCTAACAGCAGCCAAAAGGAAGGACATCATCTTAGTAGTTACTAACAAATAAATCCTCCTCATACGCAATTCTTGCACAGGTTGGAACGCTGTTGTGAATTGCTTCCGGGTCCTCCATTTCCATGCCCAGCTTAGCTAAGAAATGAGCCACGAAATTTGCTTCTCTTGGGATGTAGCTGAATTCTATCTCACAATCCATTTTCATCGTCTCCTCTAAGTCTTTCAAGATTACAGCCATCTCATTTGTTCCATAATTCTCCACTTCCTCAATCGTGTCTTGTAGTGCAATAGCATCCGTTTCAACCACTATTTTCTTGAATTGGGCGCCAATAGCTGATGCATCTTCCGACCATATTTAAGAGCTTAGATTGCCACCCCTTCATCCTATCCTTGGTTTTAAAGTCTGTACAAAAAATAAAAAACATTGATTGCTTTTGAATTCTGGTTTGTAATTTATTTAGTATACTATATTTTGGTATCTAATCTTTAATTAGACTTGCTAGATAATGTAATTTAAAAATCGAGTCAAATCAGGTTACATTCGGGTTGACCCGAACCCGGCTAATATTAGGTCATTTTCAGGTCAAAATAACTTGATTTAAACCCAGATAAAAAAAATCAGGTCAAATCAGGTAACTTTCGGGTTGACCCAAACCCGAAAATATCAGGTTCAGTTGGGGTTGACCCAAACCCTAACCGGCATATATTCATCACAATTCACAAGTACAAGACAGCGTCAATGAGTTTGTAACAGCAATGATGACTTATCACTGAAACAGACAATTTCTTCAAATGTCTCATTGCTGCAAATTTTGATTATTAAAACCACAAAATTCATTGATGATTGATGTATTAGTAAATTGAATTGCTTGAATTGGACTACAATGCTCAAATTGAATTGCTTGAATTTGACTACAATGCTCTATCACGACGATTTCAAGAAGAATTAACACAGGTTTGATGCCCACTTTATTATGATTGACAATTTGACAGTAATTAATAACTAGAACTCTAGAAGTATAGGTGTATTATTAACTCTTTGAACAAGGCTTCTTTTTTTCTTTTTTTTTTTTGGAGGGGTGGGGTGGGGGGGGGGGGGGGGAGGGGTAGGGGAAACTATTTTACAAGGATCTGTGTAGGAGCAGGAGTCACCATATTTACGGTATTTGACATACATCACTTTTGCAACCCAAGATTTCCGCTGTTGAGAGCAAGATTCCCACTGCTAGTCCATGTTTGTTGTGCCTGAATCGAGTACTGCAAATGCCATACAACATCCTCCATGGGAGGCCGTCTACTGGGATCACTGCATAGGCAGTTGGCAGCGAGTTCAACAGCAGTTTTGATGGACTGATAAGCATAAGTACCCTTCATTGACAGGTCAACAGCGCGCTGAAGTGCTGATGCAGATTCTGCTAAGCTCCTTTCCAGCTGCAATATCAAAGATGCCCAACAAGAAAAAAAACAAGTGGGTTATGATTGAATCGACTTTTGACATAAAAGAGCATCTGTATGGAAAGTTCTGGGTATGTAGAAGGGGAGGCGGTGGGGTGGTGGGTCTTAAAATATACCTCTTGCTTTAGTTCATCTACTTGGCTTTCTGATGTGATCTGTCTACCAGTTAGTAACTCAAGCAAGATCACACCAACTTTGTATATGTCATCCTTATCCGGGTGTATCGAAATAGCTGCATTTTGGCCATTTGGTGTCTCTACCTGCAAATTTCAAGCAGTTTAAACCAATTAACCAAAAGAATAAATGAAGTTAAATAAAATGAGGCTAATCAGACAAACTACAATATTCAATAGCATAAATTGTTCAGAATAATTACCTTGAAAGGTAAGGGAATCCTGTAGTTGCTGACTTTTGGGGTAAGGCTTTCATCCAACAAGATATTCTTAATACTCAATTCATTTCCAAAAACTCCAGGTACCATTCCTGTGTGAAGGAAGTGAACTCCTTTTGCAATTCCCACTGAGATTGTCATTCTCTGCGGCCACTTTAGACGATCTTTTCTTCTCCAATCTACCCGGGAAAAAAAAGTATTACTGTATGTTATACCATTTCCTGGAGAAAAATAAATGTTGGTGTAAAATTTTGAATGAATTCTTGTATGAATTTACCTGTCAAATGTTCCCTCAATGAACCATTTGTTACATGCTCGAAAACAACAAAGATCGTGCTACCCTGATGGCGATCCTTGTATGCAACAACACAGTGTCCAAGAACACAAACCAGATTCTGATGTCTTAACTGTGCTATTACTTCTAACTGCTGGTTCAATGTCTTGGATGAAAGCTTCTCTTTCACTTTTATACATCTGACCAAAATCGCGGTACCACTTTGAAGCAAACCTCTGTAAAGCTGTAACCACAATGGTTTCAACAATTAGTTAATCATTCTGATTTTTTGCAAAAAATCGAACCTAGAGTGTGATTATACCTGTCCCTGAGATCCTTCTGCAACCAAGTTTACTCGGTCGAAGTTGTTTGTTGCTTCTTCTAGTTCTTGTAAGGTAAATGACTGATAAGATGGAAGACCAAGGGCTGGCATTCTCATCGATTTTGGCCCATACTCTGTGCAACACAATTAAAGTACATCAATTCTGCGATAATTATCATTTATCAATCCAACCAAAACTTGAGGCACTAAAATTAGTAATTTAGTAATTTACATGTATTCTTAATAGGAAGAAAATTCTGATTATGCAAGAAAGCTCCCATTTTAGTAATCTACTAATGTTTGGGTTCCTTAACTGTTTTTTTTTTTTTTTTTTTTTTTTTTTTTTTTTTCTGTGAGGTCTATGTTATCATTGATCCATGATCATATTCTTGAAGAAATTTTCAAATTCGAGAGATTCAAGACAATAAATCATAGTACTCCACTAATTATTTTAGACTGTTCAAAAACTATATAGTACAAAATTTGAATTTCGGACACAAAATTAAAAAAAATGAGACAAATTGTGATATTCATAGATTACAAAAACATGATCCAAATGCAAAAAATAAATGATGATTTTGCAAAGAGAGAAAGAGATCTTACTTGCATCAACAATAGGCGAAGGGCGATTCGCCAACTTCCCACCAACAGATTTATCATATTTGTGCTGATATTCAACATCTTTTGATTTCCTCTTACAAATCAACCACATTAAAGAAACAACAGTACCAGCAAACAAAATAGTCCCACCAATTATACCAAATATCAGCCCAAATTTAATCCCTGAATTCTTCTGATCATCATGTAACCTACCGCTACTACTTTTCTTAGGAGGTGGGATCACAGCTAGAGCTTGTCTCTGGCAAAATTTAGCAGGGTGCTGAAACTTCGAACCCGAAAGACAGTTCCACACACTCAAAACTTTCCTATACTTGCCAGCTTCCGAGCTAACGCAGCTCGGAAGCTGTCCGACTAACAAATTACGTGAAATATCGACGAACCATAGTCGTTTACCACAGGTAGTACTCTTAGGGAGCTCACCAGTGAGCTGATTTTCTGCCAGATTAAGGTACCATAATGCAGGAAGAGATAGAACAGAAGGCGGTATCGGGCCAATGAGGTTGTTTGAGGATGCATCAAATCTTTGAAGCTGATTAAAGCTCTTAATTCGGGATGGAATTTGTGATCGCAATGTGTTATTTCTTAATATGATGCTTACTACATTGCTTCCTAATGAAGGGAAATCTGGTCCTAATTGGTTGTTGCTCAAGTCGAGCTCTTGAAGAGATTGTAAGGTACTTAAATCTGGAATATTTCCATCTAACAAATTATCAGCCAATACAATACTTTGTATGCTTTCCATTAAGGAAATTTGTGGTGGGATTTCGCCGTAGACGAAATTCGAGCTCATGTTAAGGACTTCAAGGGTATGAAATCTGCTGATCTTTGAAGGTAAACTTCCCCAAATTCCTAATGAAACTAAGCAAAGTTTTCTTAAGCTTCTGAGTTTTGTGACAATAGTGAATAATGAATCAAGGGAAAATTTTTGTGACAAAGTTTGATCAGAAACAGCAAATTTGCCTGATTTTAGTGGGATTGAAGAGTGAGATGGAGATGTTCTGTTTCCAATGACAGTTAATTCTGTTATAAGCCCATTTGAACATACAACAGTAACTGAAGGTGATGGTTGTAAGAAGCAGAAATCAGTCCATTGTTGCCATGATTTTAGAGAATCTGGGTATTCTAGATACTTCTGAAGTTGTAGCAGGATTCTTGCTTCTGCAGGATTAACCTGTGCTTCTGATATCGAGATGAATCCAACAAGAACCGAACCGAGAAAGCATAATCTAAGACAAACCCAGAAATTGAAATTCTTTTCCATCATTTCCAATTTCTGGGTAGTCGTATTTTTTACAAATTTGTGAGTTACAACTGAAAGCAACTCAAAAACTGGCCATATAAATTGGCCTAAAACCAGAGGAAAACAGAGGAAATTGTTGAAAAAAGAAGTAAAAATGTCACCTTCAAAAGAAATGAAAAATCTTGAAAATTTGTTTATCTGGGTATTGCCTCAAAAATTCCCACCTAAGATTTTTTGATCAAAATTTTGGCACAAAATGTGATAGCTAAGAAGTAAATGAGCCAACTAACTAAAGAAGATGTACATATATGAACATTTATTATAAACAAGTTTAAGAACCAACTAACCCAGTTTGTTTGTTTCCTTCGGAAAAATAAAAATTTTAAAAAATTAAATGTACAAATTGCAATTAAAATATGGAGAAAATTAGATAGCACAAAAATCTAAACAGAGCAAAAACAGAGGAATTATTATTTATTCAGTGGAATTATTTATAATTATTTTATAATAAAAAATAAGAGTAGAATTGTGAGTTATTTTTGCCAATCTGTCAATGCACTAAGAAGGCAGTGGAGCAGACTAGCTTTGATCCTCTGTAACGCAGCCTATTATAATTAATATGGATTCGTCTGCTCATCACCGTTTGATTTAAGGTAGTCAAACATTGGGTTTAGTCAAGTGAGATCTCAAGGGGTTTGACTAATATTACTATTGGTTGATCTTGGAGGTGGTGGTATCTCGAAGCACGTGATATGATCATGGATATATCATGAAAGTAAAATATAATAATGATAGTTGTAGTAGTAGTACATATTAACGTTATTGTTAATGATTTAGTGTGTTGACTAATTAGACTTGAAAGAGCATATCAACAAAATACTCATTGTTCAGAGGTGACAATTAGATCGTTTCAAAATGAATTAGTTCAAGTCGGTTCATATTTGGTGAACAATATATAATTTAAGTTAATTTTGATTTTAGTTGGTTCAAGTTGAATTATCTTTGATTGTCTTTCTGATACACTTATTTTGATAAGATGATCATCATTGATTGTGCATTCATTATCAAGTATGTTTATTCATTAGTCTCGTAAATTCATAATGATGGTGGAACAACATTTGGAAATTTTCGATTAGGACATTTCAAATTATATTTACTTAGTACAAAATTAAATGTTGAAAATAATTAAATAAGGACTTAAATTATTTATTAAAAAAGAAAAGGAAGATGCTTAGCTTAATATTGAATGATAAATTGATAATAGTACTCCGTAATATTTTAGTAGCATTCCACCAAAAAAAAAAAAAAAAAAAAATCTCTTATTTTTGTATTCTCCAACATATATTCTTGCACAGTAAATACTCCAAAGATTGTACTTTACTCAAATTATTCATCTGATCTAATAATGTGAATTGTCTACTGAAATCTTTAATTAAAGAGAAAAATTAATAAAGTGGACATGTCTTAAAGAAAATGTCCTTTTATGTGTAGTCTGTGTATTAATGACCTATTAGCAATGGTGGTGACCAGTACCACCTTATATTGTCAATTTATCAAGGGATAACTGGCTAAGGTTTGTACTTGCCATATATATATAATTCATAATATCTTTACTAATGGATTTTTCATTTTTTTTTTTTTTAATTTTAATTTTTTAGTTTTTTTAATTTTCTTTTCATACATATTACATGTGGAAACTACTCCGTGAAGAATAGAGATAATCTGTCCAACTATTACGGAGTATAAACTCATATATTACATTTCTTATACAAGTATTCATGAGTTCGATGTTATTCATAAGGGGTATTGTATTTCACAATATATAAAAATTATTGAGAATTGTTTATGGACATCCCAAACGATAATGGACATGTAACAATAATGTGAAAGATGATGGGATTTGGAAAAAATGGGATTAGGACATAACTCAAATAATTGGCATGTAGTACAAAGAATGTCATTTCACATTTGATAATAATGGATAGACAGTTAGTGTGGGAAATAGTGCTGTGTCGGTGGTGTGCTACAAGTATTATTTTTACTCTTCACTTCATTTTTGTTTTAAATCGTAGTTAGTGGCTCAGTAATTTACAAGCTTTCCATGAATAAAGAAACGGTAACTTTTTGTCTCTAACATGGTTTAATCATGATTTGCTGATAGCCTAATAGTAATATCACTATTTTTTTTTTTTTATTTTATTTTTTTTTATATATAAAAATTTTGTTACTCCGTACTACTTTTTACAACAAGACCTTAGTGTATTAAGTAATTAACTTACAACAACATTAGTTTTAGAGTAAGTATTAAGTATTAACCAATTTAGGGTTACATTTAACCTGAATTAATTGTTTTAGTACATTACATATGACATTTAAGAGAATATTTTGTTACACAACTATCAGTCACTATAAGCCTATAACAGCTAGTTTTGCCAAAACACTTATAAATAGAAAATCGTAACTTTCAATATAAATTGGCCTGAAATGACTTGACCAATTTTAAGATAACTTTACTCCAAATATACAATATTTATTACACAATTTCCTTGGTGAATTTCTGCTTTTTAAACTACTCTTATCTTTATTCTTTAGTATTTTGTTTTGGCATCTTCACATACATTTGTAGTTATTAGTAAATAAGATTTTTAATGAAAAGGACAAGCATAATTCTCCAATAAGCTAGCTTAAGAAAGAGGGCACACTACAACTTCTGACAGATATGTTGTTGCAGATTTTATAATTAATGTTGTGGAGCTCATGAAATGATAAATATATATATATGAACTGAAATAAGTACAGAAAAGAGGGGTGTTTTTGAGCAAAGGTAAATGAAAAATAAATAGTGAGTAAAACCTAAGACCAAATAATTTTTGTCTATATTTAAATTGGTGGCCTTAGTATTCTCTTCACTTATAACATGCAAAGTATTTTTTATTGAAGGAAATAATACCAGAGTATTGGAACTTGAATATTTTGGTATATTATACGTACACAACAAAATTAAAACAAAAACAAAATAGGATAAAACCAATATTATTGCTAAAATATGCAAAATAATACAATCTGTGATTTGGCCTACATATGCCTATATATGTACTTTACTACGGAGTAATATTTGTACAAATAGTGCAATATTTTAGAAAAATACAATTAAAATATACTTCCTCCGTTCTTTTTTACTTGACATGCTTTGACTTTTGCACTATTCACCACCCCTCTTTTAATCGTGTTTTGTGAATAATATATAAGGAAAAACATTCATATTGGATCTTTTTGAATTCGTCTAAATAAGTACTATCATAATATATAACTTTTATATTTTTTACTTATGTAGAATTAGTTATTGATCGTTAAAGTTTTACATTGCCAAGCGTGATAAAAGAAATAGGTCAAATATAAAAGAACAGAGAAAGTAGTAATTTAAATAAATAACCATTCATTTTAATTTAGAAATCATAAAAAATCGAAATCATTCACTTTATTTTTTTTACTCCGTAATACTTTGAGCATTTTAAAATTTATTTTAAATGTTTCGGCTACTATCTTTTCAATTTCAGTTAATTAATTTTCTAATTTTAGATGCTATATTTTCCTAATTTTATTTAGTTTTTAATTTTAGTTAGTGTTGTCAAATCTAGCCAAAACGCCTTTTAGATGTTGTTTCAGATGATATTTAAGCTTCTCGATCTTCTATTAATTCCGTTAATTGGAGCCATATTAAGCGGGATGGGAATGTTTTGCTCATAAATTAGCTTGCCGTGTTGAACAGATTTGGAAAAATCATACATTATCCTTGTGAGATTTCTCCGTATGTTTTGATGAATAAATCATCCATTTAAAGCCCCTTTATGCGTTGTCTCAAACAAAATTAAAACCTAGCTAAAACACAAGCTAATATTTGGAAACAAACAATTCCTGATCGAAACATGAGGCGATGAGTAACAATTACTAGAACAAGATTTCGGATAATGTTCACAAAAGTTTTCATGTGCGGAAAATACAAGTTTATAACTTTGATAAACAAAAATTGTTTATCAAAGGGTGTATATGTAAACTACATCTAACTTTTGGTTAACTGTTATTTTCTCTCTCATCCTTCAACCTTTTGGTATTTTCTGATTTTCTCTCTCCTTCTTTAACCTTTTGTTGTTTTCTCTCTCCTCCTTCAACTTTCAATTTCAATGGTGGAAAATACCCCTTCTCACTATGACTCGAAGAAGTGACATCTATGGAGGAAGAAAAGCTTACCTACCCTCTAGGGGTAACCATGTTTGTTATTTTCACTTTGTTATTTGGGTTTTCGTTATGGTGGTACGAAGTCGAATTAAATGGAGGAAGGAAAACTCAGCTATCCTTTAGGGTTAACCATGCCATTAATTTAATTTATCCTTTTGTTAATAGGGTTTTCGTTTAATTTCGTCGGCAAGGCCGGCGAAAATGGTGTCAAACGGACTTGGAAGAGGAGGTGAAAGTGAGCAGAGATTGGAGGAAGAAGATTAAGGTGGGTGGGAAGAAAAAAATATGAACAAAAGGAAGAAGATGAACATGAAGAAGAAGAAGGTGGGAGGAAGAAGAAGATGAATAGTAGCAAACGGTGAGTTAACGGTGTTAACTCCAAAAATTTGTCCAACTTGTCATAGTGGCCCACAAACAATAAAAATATATTTTTTAATTAAAAAACACAATTTTCAATGAAACTTATTTACGGAAATGCCATTTAATAAATATAATTTGTTTATCAAGGTTATAAATTGGGGCTTGCTTATTAAAAACTTTTCCGAAAATCATTAATTTTAGAAATTCTCTTTTATGAATTATGTTCACAATAATAATGAAAGTGCTATAGAGTATAGAGTTGAAGTTTAGGTATTGGAATACTTATATGACACATTAGAGCACTCCCAGCACTGAGTGAAAAAGCCCTCACGAGTGAAAATTAAGGTGTTAAAAAAAAAACCGAACACCACATCAGTGAGGAAAATAGCTCTCACGGTTGAGGAGAACCAAAAACGCACAAGAGTTGAGGAGAAATGAGAATGAACAGTAAAAATGTGGGACCCACCAAAATCTGACGCATGCCCATTTTATTTGCTGAGAAAGCATCCAAAACGACAAGTAGTAGTAGTAGTAGTAGTAGTAGTAGTAGTAGTAGTAGTAGTAGAAATCCTCGATTTCGGCTTTTCCTACAAAGCCTTGGAAACACTTCTTTGCAAAATTCACCACAACGAACACCTCATCGAACTCCTTTCGAAAACACTACCTATGCACCACATTCACCTCTTGTTTATCAAGGGACCAATTCTGAATTTGATGATGAAATGGAAGAAACTATTCCAGACACTCCTCAATACTCTCCACCTCCTCCAAGAGTGTCTGTGAATCAAAACCAACCACTTATAAAAGGAAGTCAAATGTGGTCTGTTGCGGAGGATGAAGCTCTAATTGGTTTGTATCTTCAATTCAGTGAAGATGCAATTGTTAGTACAAACCAAAAAGCAGCTGCGCTATGGCGAAAAATATCTACAGCATATGATCAAGCGCAGGCTGAGAAACCCCACATCCTAACGCCAAGACCTTTGAGGAGTTTGGAAAGTCGTTGGAGAAGGAGGGCAACTGATTTAATACAATGGAGTAGTTGCTATAACGAAGCTGGAAGGGCAACTGGAAGTGGTTACAGCGAAGCAGACCGAATTAATAATGCGAGTAAATTATTCTATATTTCCTCCAAGCCTACTCCACATAATTTTAATTGTCACCATGGTTGGGAAATGGTTAAAAATGACCCGAAGTGGAGGACAAAACTGAGATGGGCGTTGTCAAGAGAGGAAAGATTAGCTTGAGGTGATGCTGTCAAAGATGACAGTAGTGGAAGTGAAAAGCGATGTAGAACTGAAGATGAAGATGTTGTTCCCGTTACCGGTTTCATTTCTGGGGGTCTTCCTCGACCTGATGGCGTTAAAAAGGCAAAGTCTAGGCGTAATAAGGGAAAAGGAGTGGCTTTTGAAGTCTCAAACATTAGTGAGCAAATGCAGCAGAATAATGCAAGTAGGGAAATTGAGGCACAAATGCGGTTGAAGAAGTTGGATTTCGACATGGAAAAGGAAAGAAGGAAGCAAAAACAAGTAGAGATTCACCAAAAACAAGTCGAAATTCAAGAGATAAGGCTCAACTATGAAATGCTGCAAGATCTAATGGCAAAGGGACCGGACCTAACTCCTGATGAAGAGGCTTACAAGGAAGAATTACGTGCACTACTCTATGGTAGAAGGAACATGTAATAATGATCAGGTTAATGTGTTTGCTACTGTTTTATTTAATTAATGTTCAATGTAGTCCTTTTTATTTTAATTAATGTTAAGATGTACTCCTTTTTATTTACATTAATGTGAAATGAATTATGTTTTTGATAACATTAATTATGCAGTAAATTATTTACTTTATGAAATTTGTTTTTAATAATAATCACATGTACTGGTTAATGACAAATATACAACTCCCAATAAAATCTTCATAGTTTTATGTTGAAGAGTCATATCAACTGAACTCAAGTAATGATAATGATATAGATTACTGAAGAGTCAAATCATTTGTTCAAGTGTCATAGATCACATGCATCAATAATTCAATTGCAATTCAGAGTGCAATGACACATCAATTTCATTGCAGAGATTGCATTGAAGTGTCATATGGACTATATATACATGCATGACACATCAATTTCATTGCAGAGATTGCAATGATACATGAATTTCAATTCAGAGTTACTCACATGCAAAATCAGAGCAACTCACATGCATTGATAGTCACTTGGACTATATATACATGCATATGTTATTCTGAACGGAAAGAATCCCAAACAAACCAACTATCAAACCATAACCAAAACATGTCTTTCATTTCATCCACCTCAAGCTCTAGTTCTTCTGATTTCTCAAATAACGTTGAATTTGATCGGTTAGTTGATGATTATGCTGCTAACCACCTACCTCATATTTTAATTCCCCAACACTCATCACAAGAATCCCAGCTTAATAATGAAATAACAAATGTCCCGGAGCCTAAAATGGATAGGGAAAGAGAAAAAGGGCATGTGCAACTATATAACGATTACTTTGCGAGTAATGCAGTGTATAACGACAACCAATTCCGTCGTAGATTTCGTATGAGAAGATCTTTGTTCTGTCGCATTATGAATAAGGTGGTTGAAGGGGATCAATTCTTCCAACAACGTCAGAATGCAGCTGGAAAGCTTGGTTTATCACCGTTGCAGAAATGCACCGCTGCAATAAGAATGTTAGCGTATGGCGTAGCCCCCGATGTCGTGGATGAATATCTACGTATCGGCCAAACAACCTCAAGGAATGCATTACAACATTTTTGTCAGGGGGTTATTTCACAATTTGAAAGTGAATATCTACGTAAACCTACAGATGAAGATTTAAGGAGAATCCTTCATCAAAATGAATTGCGTGGGTTTCCAGGCATGATTGGTAGTATAGACTGCATGCATTGGGAGTGGAAGAATTGTCCTACGGCTTGGAAAGCACAATATGCTGGTCGTAGCAAGACTGTAACCCTCATTCTTGAAGCCGTTGCTGGTCAGGATTTATGGATTTGGCATGCGTTCTTTGGAATGCCTGGCTCATGTAATGATCTTAATGTCCTTTACCGTTCACCGGTGTTTGATGATGTTTTACAAGGCCGTGCACCACCAATAAATTTTTGGGTAAACGGACATCAATATGAGTTGGCCTACTACTTGGCAGATGGGATTTATCCAAAATGGCTAACTTTTATACAAGGTATTACACATCCTCAAGTTCAAAAAGACAAGTTGTTTGCTGATCAACAAGCAGCAGTTCGGAAAGACGTTGAACGGGCTTTCGGTGTTTTACAAGCTAGGTTTGCTATACTACGATAACCAGCACTGGCCTTCGACGAAGATATTCTTTGTGACATTATGAAAGCCTGTATAATAATGTACAACATGATCGTCGAGGATGAACGACACAACTACACACGTGCAGATGTTTTGAGACGATACTACGAAGAAGATCGACCACAATGTACAGCAACGCGGGCGGGACTGAGCACAAGTGCCACGGTGAATAACAACGAGCCATTTGAATTCAACGACGGGCGACCACCCAACATTGATTTCAACGCGTATTTTCAGAGGAGGATTGCCCTTCGTGATAGAGAAATTCATTCGTCTCTCAAACAAGATCTAGTAAAGCACATATGGCAGAACTTTCGTCATAATACGGCCGAATAAGCAAAGTTGTAGAATGTAATCGTATCATTTTTAAGTTTTAATACTCGTCCTCGTGTATTATTTTATTTCAAACCGCTTATATTAAGTTTGTAATCGTACTGTTATTTAATATCCGATGTATTTGTATTGCCGTTTATGTGTTCATTTCAAAAATGTGCTTCTTATTTAATCGTTTAAGTTTAAGAAAACATCTTTCGTAGAATCTATAATTGCTGTAATTTTTTTTAATTATTATATTCTAATAAGAACGTTCTTTGCAAAATTATATTGAAAATGTTCTATTTATTAATTTTAACCGTCATTAAATAAATAAATAAAATAACAAAAAAAAAATTACCAAAATAATTAAAAAATTATTACATTATAATTAAAATGTAATTATAAAAAAAAAATATTACATATTTTTAATTGTATTGAAAAGTTAAATATGTAGTATAAACATTATTAAAAAAAAAGGATAAAAAAAAGGTGATGTGTATTTATGGTGGGGTATAGTAATAGTGGAGGATAAAGTGATGAGGAGTTTTTTTTTAGAGCATTGGTGTAGTAAAAAAAACCTCTCATGAGAGGAATTGGATGGGAAGAGAAAGAAAGTGGGTAGAGAGAGATTGAGGGATTTGTTTTCTCCTTACTGCTGATAATGGTCTTACAACTTTACAAGTCATCTATCTTGTTTTAATTTGGAACTTTACCCTACATAGCCTACATATCTATCTAATGACTATAAAATCGCAAAATTGCTAGTTTTTTTTATTTTTGTAGTTTTAGAGTAAATGACTATAAAATTGCAAATTATTTTGGGATTAAAATTTTGTTTTTGACTATAAAATTGCAAAACCTGTACATTAAATTCAAATATATTGTGCTAAATTCACTAAGATAGTAGTAATAGGTGTAATTGGTAGGAGTATTACCTTATATTCTTTAGGTCACGATCTTTATGAGTTCAATCCCTATAAATCGTGATTTGATCTTGGGGCAGAGATTTTTATATTCTTTCATGATTTTAATTAAATTCCATTGTTAATAGGTAATTAATTTATTAAGTAACTTTGCTTTTGGTGCGATTGGTGCACAACCAAATATATCTATAACAAACTCCATTTGGTATCCTTGAAAATTACCACATGAACTAACTTCTTCCTTTGCAAATTTCTTATGGAACTAACTTAGAGAAATAGGAAACCAGATTATTATTATATTATATCCACATTCCTCCTAATAAAGGAATGCAATTAATAACTACTTTTTAAAGTTTTCAAAGTGGATGTAATTCATCAAAACAAATAGAATTAGAAAGTCATATTACTAATTAATAATCCTAAATTAACTAAAAGTAGAACTAAGTAGAATTTAGTATTAACTTTTAGTGATAATAAACCTATAAGTCAAAACTTTTGAAGGCTTTGACAGCAAGATTAGTGTGCATAGAAGTATAAAATAAGTATATAAGCATGGACTCGATCACCTTTTCGTAAGATACTAAGCCAACGAATATATCACATGGTTGACGTAAACTCACTAACTGGCGCATCTATATCTAATACTCCCTTTGTTTCAGAATGATGTTCCTGTTTACGTAAATTGATGCAAGTTTTTACCTATTTTTGACCGTAAATATATTTAATCTCACACTAGCAAAAATTTATAAAAGTTAGATATTAATAATGTACTCACAATGATAAATTAAACTAGATCCCACATGACTAAATTTGTTCATATAGATTGAGAGAAATTTAGAAAATTCTCTCTTATTTTTTAAAAGTCAAAGATTCCAAAAAGGAACATCATTGTGAAACGGAGGAAGTATTATACGAAAGTCATAGATAAAATAAATACAGAGAATCTAAATAAAATTACGTTATATTATATGATAGGGAGTTTACATACAATTTTCTCAAACCATAAAAAAGACAAAGTATTATACTAGAAAAAGAAATAATGTTTGAGTAAATAAAGGGTTGTTATATGAGATATAACAAGGTTTATTACTCCGTATATTATTGGGTTGCTAGGATCCAAGCATTGAAAGTGGGTTTTGTTAGCCAAGATAACGACCGAGAATGTGCCTTCGAGGCGACGGCGGCGCTGCCTCCATGGCATATGTAACTATGCCTAAGTATGAGCTTGTTTGAATGCGCTTGCTGGTTATGAACGTTGATTCGAGAGCTTTTTTGTAGGCCTTTTTTTGGTATTGAGTAAAGTCGAGAAATGTCCGAGTAAGATTATTTCGACACATACTTATAGTAAGCATAAAAAGTTATACTTTCTCCATTTCTTTTATTTGCAATACATTTTGACTTATACACTATTTATGTACTTTATTTTGATTAATTTGATGATTTATACCGTTAGTAAAAAAATAGTTTCATTTTCATTTACCTATTATCACACCATCACTACATAATATCTCTTATAATAATTACACTATCACTATCTCATTATTTCTTACATTACTTAAATTCACTTTCATTATCTTTAGTTCATCTTTATTTTAATACCCATCGACCATCCTAGCAATACATTATCACCAATCTAAGCATGCCCTTAATTTCTTTAGTTCACTTTTATTATTTGCAGGTTTAACCTGTGAGAAGTGCCAGTTAATTAGTAAGGTCCTTCATCTTACAAAAAAAAAAAAACAAATTAAAAAAAAAAAAAAAAAATTCTATTAATACATTATCCCCAATCCAAGCATGCCCTTAATTATAATCAAAAGAATCAAAGGGCTGAATCATTTTTATGAATCTTAAATTAACATTTATTAAGCTTTCACATTTAAGGAAATCTAGGACGACAAAATTATGCTCAAAATAAATGTCTTGGTTATATACTGTACCATACACAAGGTAAACCGATTGTACAAATAAAATTGATATGCTCAAATGATTTGAATAGCTTGAAACTATGTTAAGAAATTGGCTAATTGATAAGGCGATTAATTGAGGGAGAAATTGATTGATCATCATAATAATGTATTAATGTACATGCATAACTCTAATGTGCAACTAATGTGCATACGTAATAACCTAACACTATCAGTCCAACAGTACACCAAAGGGAAGCACAACACAACTCCTTAGCATGGCCCATTAAATAAAATAAGGTGGACTTGGACAACCAATTTGATTGAAAATAATAACAAAAAACTTTGGGCTGATCTGAGTCCAGATTTGTTTGGACTTAATTAAATATTATAGATAATATTAAAATCTGAAATTACTAAACCCTAACCTCTCTCCTTTTGGCTTCCATCGGATTTTATCGGTGGAAAGTCCAATTATTATTATTATTTTTTTTTTGGTTGTTTTTTGCCTATTGTTTGTTTTTTAGGTGGTTATGGAGTATAACATACTTCCTCTGGTTTTTTTTTAATAGTTGCAACAATTTGAGTTTTACACTATTCCTATTTTTCACTTTAACTAGCTTTGATGATTTATATGTATACTTAAGCAAAAATATAGTCATGTGAGATCTTGTTAAATTCGTCTCAATTTATACTATTTTAATATCAAATTTTTATAATGTTTACATATTAGTAATTAAAAATATTAATGATTGAAAACATGTATCGGTAAACATGAAAAGAGAAGTGTTGCAACTATAAAAAAACAGAGGAAATATATACTACTTCTGTTTCTTTTTAGTTGCAACAGCGGGGTAATATATGTGATATATAAAAAATTTCTTTATGCAACAAAAAGAAGTGGAGGTAGTATGTCTAAGTTTCTCTTACTGAGAAACGACGCGAAATATGTTTCTTAATTGGTAAATTTGTAAAAAATTCCATCTTTTCCCCACTGTTCATAGGTATTACGCTACTTTAAGTAACGGGTTTGTCTATGATATTACAATTTAAATCCATTGATAGAAAAATTATGTTTGTCAAGAAGAGAAACCGGGGCTCCTTCATGAATATATCGGACTGCAATTTTACTTGCCAAATATTTTCTTTCTTTGTAAACGCATTGCTAAATTAGAAATTAACGACAGTATGGATTAGCTTTTGGTATTAGTCATTTCAGAACGCAATGATGATGAATTCACACAGAAACTTATTTGTTACTTCATCTTAGGCTATTTTTAACATGCGAATTTAAGGTTGAGCATAGATTGCCATTAATTCTGTTGAACATTTAAGCCCTCCAGCTGACATTACTCCTTAATAAACAAACAGTAATCATTCTTAAACTGCCATGATTCTACATTTCAATATCTAAACCTGTCTTATTGTAGTAACATTATTTATTCTAAAGGAGTTAAGGGAGCTTGTTATTGGAGGGGTGTATCAGATATGTCTGCTCCATCATGGAGTACGGTGACTCTGAACCTTCCAATGGAATGTTGGTGGCTTTGGTGGCACTCGTGAGTCTATGATGGATGTGGGTGGCACTCGTGAGTTTATATCTACTGTTGGTGGCTTCGGTGGCACTCGCGAGTTAATATCTGCTGCTGTTGGTGGCTTTGGTGGCACTCGCGAGTTTAAATCTGCTGTTGGTGGCTTTGGTGGCACTCGTGAATCAATGTCTACTACTGGTGGTACTCGCGAGTTAATATCTGCTGCTGTTGGTGGCTTTGGTGGCACTCGCGAGTTTAAATCTGCTGCTGGTGGCTTTGGTGGCATTCGTGAATCAATGTCTACTACTGGTGGTGCTCGCGAGTTAATATCTGCTGCTGTTGCTAGCTTTGGTGGCACTCGCGAGTTTAAATCTACTGGTGGTGGCTTTGGTGGCACTCGTGAATCAATGTCTACTACTGGTGGTACTCGTGAGTTAATATCTGCTGCTGTTGGTGGCACTCGCGAGTTTAAATCTGCTGGTGGTGGCTTTGGTGGCACTCGTGAATCAATGTCTACTACTGGTGGTACTCGCGAGTTAATATCTGCTGCTGTTGGTGGCTTTGGTGGCACTCGCGAGTTTAAATCTGCTGTTGGTTGCTTTGGTGGCACTCGTGAATCAATGTCTACTACTGGTGGTACTCGCGAGTTAATATCTGCTGCTGTTGGTGGCTTTGGTGGCACTCGCGAGTTTAAATCTGCTGTTGGTTGCTTTGGTGGCACTCGTGAATCAATGTCTACTACTGGTGGTACTCGCGAGTTAATATCTGCTGCTGTTGGTGGCTTTGGTGGCACTCGCGAGTTCAAATCTGCTGCTGGTGGCTTTGGTGGCACTCGTGAATCAATGTCTACTACTGGTGGTGCTCGCGATTAAATATCTGCTGCTGTTGGTGGCTTTGGTGGCACTCGCAAGTTTAAATCTGCTGGTGGTGGCTTTGGTGGCACTCGTGAATCAATGTCTACTACTGGTGGTACTCGCGAGTTAATATCTGCTGCTGTTGGTGGCTTTGGTGGCACTCGCGAGTTTAAATCTGCTGTTAGTGGCTTTGGTGGCACTCGTGAATCAATGTCTACTACTGGTGGTACTCGCGAGTTAATATCTGCTGCTGTTGGTGGCTTTGGTGGCACTCGCGAGTTTAAATCTGCTGCTGGTGGCTTTGGTGGCACTCGTGAATCAATGTCTACTACTGGTGGTACTCGTGAGTTAATATCTGCTGCTGTTGGTGGCACTCGCGAGTTTAAATCTGCTGCTGGTGGCTTTGGTGGTACTCGTGAATCAATGTCTACTACTGGTGGTACTCGCGAGTTAATATCTGCTGCTGTTGGTGGCTTTGGTGGCACTCGCGAGTTTTAATCTGCTGCTGGTGGCTTTGGTGGCACTCGTGAATCAATGTCTACTACTGGTGGTACTCGTGAGTTAATATCTGCTGCTGTTGGTGGCTTTGGTTGCACTCGCGAGTTTAAATCTGCTGCTGGTGGCTTTGGTGGCACTCGTGAATCAATGTCTACTACTGGTGGTACTCGCGAGTTAATATCTGCTGCTGTTGGTGGCTTTGGTGGCACTCGCGAGTTTAAATCTGCTGGTGGTGGCTTTGGTGGCACTCGTGAATCAATGTCTACTACTAGTGGTACTCGTGAGTTAATATCTGCTGCTGTTGGTGGCACTCGCGAGTTTAAATCTGCTGCTGGTGGCTTTGGTGGTACTCGTGAATCAATGTCTACTACTGGTGGTACTCGCGAGTTAATATCTGCTGCTGTTGGTGGCTTTGGTGGCACTCGCGAGTTTAAATCTGCTGGTGGTGGCTTTGGTGGCACTCGTGAATCAATGTCTACTACTGGTGGTACTCGTGAGTTAATATCTGCTGCTGTTGGTGGCACTCGCGAGTTTAAATCTGCTGCTGGTGGCTTTGGTGGTACTCGTGAATCAATGTCTACTACTGGTGGTGCTCGCGATTAAATATCTGCTGCTGTTGGTGGCTTTGGTGGCACTCGCGAGTTTAAATCTGCTGGTGGTGGCTTTGGTGGCACTCGTGAATCAATGTCTACTACTGGTGGTACTCGTGAGTTAATATCTGCTGCTGTTGGTGGCACTCGCGAGTTTAAATCTGCTGCTGGTGGCTTTGGTGGCACTCGTGAATCAATGTCTACTACTGGTGGTACTCGCGAGTTAATATCTGCTGTTATTAGTGGCTTTGGTGGCACTCGCGAGTTTAAATCTGCTGCTGGTGGCTTTGGTGGCACTCGTGAATCAATGTCTACTACTGGTGGTACTCGTGAGTTAATATCTGCTGCTGTTGGTGGCACTCGCGAGTTTAAATCTGCTGCTGGTGGCTTTGGTGGCACTCGTGAATCAATGTCTACTACTGGTGGTACTCGCGAGTTAATATCTGCTGTTATTAGTGGCTTTGGTGGCACTCGCGAGTTTTAATCTGCTGCTGGTGGCTTTGGTGGCACTCGTGAATCAATGTCTACTACTGGTGGTACTCGTGAGTTAATATCTGCAGCTGTTGGTGACTTTGGTGGCACTCGCGAGTTTAAATCTGCTGCTGGTGGCTTTGGTGGCACTCGTGAATCAATGTCTACTACTGGTGGTACTCGCGAGTTAATATCTGCTAATGTTGGTGGCTTTGGTGGCACTCGCGAGTTTAAATCTGCTGGTGGTGGCTTTGGTGGCACTCGTGAATTAATGTCTACTACTGGTGGTACTCGTGAGTTAATATCTGCTGCTGTTGGTGGCACTCGCGAGTTTAAATCTGCTGCTGGTGGCTTTGGTGGTACTCGTGAATCAATGTCTACTACTGGTGGTACTCGCGAGTTAATATCTGCTGCTGTTGGTGGCTTTGGTGGCACTCGCGAGTTTAAATCTGCTGGTGGTGGCTTTGGTGGCACTCGTGAATCAATGTCTACTACTGGTGGTACTCCCGAGTTAATATCTGCTGCTGTTGGTGGCTTTGGTGGCACTCGCGAGTTTAAATCTACTGGTGGTGGCTTTGGTGGCACTCGTGAATCAATGTCTACTACTGGTGGTACTCGCAAGTTAATATCTGCTGCTGTTGGCGGCTTTGGTGGCACTCGCGAGTTTAAATCTGCTGGTGGTGGCTTTAGTGGCACTCGTGAATCAATGTCTACTACTGGTGGTACTCGTGAGTTAATATCTGCTGCTGTTGGTGGCTTTGGTGGCACTCGCGAGTTTAAATCTGCTGGTGGTGGCTTTGGTGGCACTCGTGAATCAATGTCTACTACTGGTGGTACTCGCGAGTTAATATCTGCTGCTGTTGGTGGCTTTGGTGGCACTCGCGAGTTTAAATCTGCTGCTGGTGGCTTTGGTGGCACTCGTGAATCAATGTCTACTACTGGTACTCGCGAGTTAATATCTGCTGCTGTTGGTGGCACTCGTGAGTTTAAATCTGCTGCTGGTGGCTTTGGTGGCACTCGTGAATCAATGTCTACTACTGGTGGTACTCGTGAGTTAATATCTGCTGCTGTTGGTGGCTTTGGTGGCACTCGCGAGTTTAAATCTGCTGGTGGTGGCTTTGGTGGCACTCGCGAATCAATGTCTGTTACTGGTGGCACTTGTGAGTTTGTATCAACTGTTGGTGGCACTCGTGAGTTTATATCCGTTGTTGGTGGCTTTGGTGGCACTCTTGAATTTATATCCGCTGTTGGTTGGCCCATTGGTAAACCTGGTTAAACAAACAACGTGTGTTATTGTGAGATATAAATACTTTACTTAATACTAAAATAGAAATGATAGTAGATCGTTATGCTTACCAATTGCCATAGCAAAGAGGAGCACCAATAGTGTTGATTTAACATTCTTCTCCATGTCTTTGTATATTTAGGAAGCTATTCGGACTCAAGCCAGTAGAAATCTATTTTTCCTTGTGGTTTATGAGGATATGTCTGCCTACTATTTATACTTTTATAGAGGATTGAAATAGAGAAATCAAAAGATATGATATAGCTCTGGTATCAATGTTATTTATTACTCGTATCATATTACCAAAAAATAAAATAAAATAATCAATGTTAATATCATATCCTATTATCTTTGGTATATTAGGATATTATATTATTATGTTATGTAAATATATTTATTTGATATTATATGTAATAATAATCATTGATTATATTATTTGATTCGTTTGTATCTTCAGACTTACGGCTGAACTCTTCTTATTGCATACTATAATTAGTTGTCCTTTTATCAATACAATTAAGCTTTTAAACATTATTTTCTTTTTTATACATCTATCATGCATGACAAACATATTTAGGTATCAAGAGATATGATATATCACCAATTAATGTTATTATCTTATTTTATTATTTATGTAAATATCTTATTATCAAGAGATATGATATCATGCTTTGTTAATTTTTTTGATATAATCTTTAATCATTAATTTTGTATATTATTGATTCATTTGTATCTTTAGTGAATCAGAGAGATTAATTAGGTTGAACTCTTATAACATTATAAATAATTGTGTTTTTCATGTATTAGCTTTAATTTCCAACATTCTATCATGGTATAGAGTATTGATTCACTCACTTAGACCTATTTGGAGTGTATTCTATCCACCTGATTTTAATTATCTGAACTTTACTGAACTTATTAGACCTTGTTTTAACTTATTTTAGTCGTAATTTGTGTGAAAATAATTATTAGTCGAAACGACCATACTACCTCTAATTTACATTTTTTTGAATGAAATTTACATTTTCTTAAAATCAAACTTAAATTGTAAGCAGTAGTTTACCATTGGAGTGACAATATTAATGCAGCTATATCAAGAACATTACTCAAACAAGCTACGTTGCTTGATTTTTTAATGAACACTTCATCCACTTATATTATGACATGTATATAATTAAAACTACTTAATTTATTTATTTATTTTTTCAAGCTACAACTTTCTATTGCTCACCATTGAAGTACCTTGTAGCTTAATAATAAACTAGCTCAAAATTTTGATATATCAAGGTAAGCAACAAGCCCTTGTAGCTTACCATTGAAGATGCTCTAACAACACTGTTTTTTTTTTTGGGTACAGAAATACTCAATTAGGCAATTAGCAATCAAACATGAAAAATTCCTCATTGCAAATGAATCGTAGTAGCAATATCTGGTGAGTAACCTGGACATTAGCTGATTGATTTCTTCCTTTTTGGGTACATTAATTTGATAGTATTTTTTTTTTTTAAATAAAGTTTTTTATGCACTTTTACAGTTGCCTTAAATTTTTAATTATGTAGCTTTCAGCCTTTCAATATGATGTTATCAATAAAAAATTCTCATGTTAATTTTGTTTAGAAATTATGATGCTGAACAAGATGAATTCTTGATTATGCTCAAGCATTTTGTTATGAAATAATATTATACTCATACTTCGTAATTCTTTGATATTTGGGTTACACTTAATTAATTAAAACTTTGAAATCAGATATTCTAGTGTGCAAAAATAGAGGATGATGCCCCTAAAATTTAACTATGTTAGCGGAATTGTAGGTGTAGCAATGCAATGTAAGCGTTCGTGGCAAAGTTGTTTCTATAGGATATGGTGCATAACAACGATGGGAGCTGATTTGTCAAAAAACATGATATTTGGATAGAAGGGAATGGAGGGAGAGGATCATGGTTGGCGAACACAGGAGATAAAACCTTGGTTTATGTAGCCGACCCCTTCTTTGGGATCAAGGCGACGATTATTGTTGTTGTTGTTGATATTGGATATTGGTTATTGGTGTAAGGACATTGTAGGTAGAAATCGAGGAATGGGGGTGAATGGGAGGAGCAAGGGCGATTGTGTACTGTTTTTCTAAGACGATAGTGACTGTCGTATGTTTTTAGTGTTTATGTAGTATTCTCTCTGATGATAAGATAAATTAGATGATATATATGATGTCCTAGTGATCACAATTGGGTTTTAGAATAGCAGGTTTTAAGTCCACTCACCTTCACTTACCATGTAAAAATTTGGAAATCCATTAAAGAACTAAGCAATTCTGATTTCTTTGTATGCAATGTACTACCGGGAAAAGCCATTATATAGATCAAAATCATAAAAAAAACCGAACAAACATCTGAGTTGGAACTTTAAACGTTTGCCTCATTTGTGCTGGTGATCTTAGGATTTTGAGAGCTGTTGCTGTTTATTCTGAAATGTAATAAGCAATAAGCCTTGTCTATACTGCTTCCTAGGATTGCAACAGTTACAATGTACATTGTGATTGACTCAATATCAAGGCATTATTTAAGCAACTTTTTGGGTCAGCTGATGAATACTGATACTGGCTTCCCTCTTTCAGAATCATACTTCAATGATCTGCACAATTGCAATTCATTTTCTTTGTCTTTGTCACACTGTATGATTGGACAGTGTGAGGATTTGTATTGGAAAACTGTAAAATTTACCGGATACTATACTCCTGACAATCTTTTCATTCTCTATTCTGAACTGGGAGTGGATAATTAAATTGTGGATAAATATTATGTTGTTGGCCAGATTGTTACCCACAAGTCTACAACCGGAGTCCATCTCCTTTGTACATAGGATGGTTCAGGGTTGGGTCATTCCTCTTTGTCATAGGAAGTTGAAGGGTTTCGAAAAGATATAATACTGTTTAAGGCTGATTATATTTATAAGAGGCCTGCTTTATATACTTCAGCTGCTCTACATGGGACAGACTACATTCCCGTTAGCACTCCTTGTGTGTGGATTAGAAAGGGTTCAGACAATTAAGAGGGCTGTCATCTGTCTGGTGAGAGATTGCATCCTGAGTAGCTTGAGAAGGACTAGTGCTGAGTGATTTGCCCAATGATGCAGTGATGAGGAAACAATATGTAGTGCAATCTTTGTTATATACTCTTCGATTATTATAGTGTTTAATTGGTTATCACGTTGTTGTGTATATGAGCAGAGATCATAGTTTGTCTCGTCTTTTTATACTTTATATTCTTAAATTTCAAGTACTATAACATAAATTTCTGTTTATTCACTAATAAACCATGGTGTTAGACTTTTATTTATAAATATACAAAATCAATGGTATCTTTAATTCTTTATATGATCACCATATTACCTTACATCTCATATAATGATCTTTGTTTTATTGTAGTGAAAATTGAGCTGAAAATACTTCACCTTATTCAATCATCCTTACTAATTCACTGGTAATCAGAAACTTCTGAATAGAGTGTTCTAATTTTTGAAATAATTTCAGGAGCTATATGCATGCCACATTATGGAAGATGGGCTTCTGCTTCAACTTTGGTTCCTTCGCATTCACTGGCCTTGTCTGTTAGTTGTGCTGGTATCCTTGAATAAGTTTCTTCTGCCACACTGGTTTCACCATACCTGCAAATTCCATTCACACACGGGCATCCTTCTAATTTGCATTCATTTATGCTGGAGTTAGTCGCTTTGAATCAGTTCCTGCTTCTCTTGAGAGTGCTAAACCTGGTAAGACTCTCAATGGTTAACTGCATAGTCGCATATGTACATGAAAAGGTTCATAAAAAGAAGAATATACAAATTTACTTTGAAGGGGGAGGTGTGTATTTGCTTTACCAAATGAGACAGAGAAGAAGACTGCCAAAAGAATAAACTTAAGAGTCTTTCCCATGCTACGTGCTTCTCACAAGTTATTGGATGTCGCTTGTTTGATTTTCTTTTATTTCCACTTCCTGAGGGTATTTTTTTTTCTCTTATTTATACAGACATTGAGACATGTGTGAATTATTCTGTTACATACCTCATTTACATATATGGTGAACTAGCTCTGATTTGGCTAAAAAGTACTCCATATATTATAAAATTTTTGTCTAAATTTCCCCTTGCTACATGGTTGCCTCTTCATAGTCTTTAAGATAGTGTACTTTTTTTATTTTTTTATTATTGCTAATTATGGATGACATACATGCTGGAAATAACATGATCTACATCGTCACTAAGGGATGTATTTTTTATTTTTAATTTTTCACATCATGCATTATTTAAGTACTACAGTCTAGGACGATTGTCATTACTGTTTGCTGTGTGAAGTTAGGAATGGCCTAAGATTTACAATTATTAGCTTCGTCCTAAATCAGTTTAAATTATATTTGCTTTCATCTGACATGAGGTCATTGCTGATTATGTACTAGATTGCAAACCTGCCAGACTCACTCACACACAATAATACAGACTAGAGAAGGAACAAGGTTGAACTGTTGAAGCTTTGATTTAATTTTAACAAATGGCTTACAAAGCTAGTAGCTTGAGGCTACAACTCTCTATAATAGTGACTTTAGGTCGCAAGTCTATCTCACAATCTACCTACCTCTCTCTAATTCCCACCTTTCCCTTTTATATTACAACTCCCATTCCCTAGGTTGATCCTAGTCTTCATGACTTGATTCGTCTCTTATTCCCAGGTGGCGACTGATTTTCTGTTCCTACTTCTGCTCTTAGTTTCCATTCGCCTTAAGTGAGGACCACAGGGCACAGGTGGCCTCTCTTGGTCCATCACAGATCACTACTCCACAAGTTCTGGCAAGTTATGTTTCGTTGGGGAGGGCTAAGGGCATAAGGCTCTTTCAAAAGTAACCTGATGATCTCTACACATGTTTGAATTAGAAATATTCTTATATCAAAATAGCCAATGAGCTTGGATATTAGCAGAGCTTTTTCCGGGATAAGGTTCAAGATAGTATAATCCTTGTCACTTAATTTCATGTTGACATATAAGCTCTTTGGTTTAGGTCCACTATCTATTCTATCTGACTCAATCTTTTGGCTAATGATCATGGGCTTGGATGAAGGGAGTTCAGAGGATTTGAGGGTACATTTATGGACCCAAATTTGATTTACTATTATTAACTGGTATACTGCTTGCTGAATTTGGCTCATGTGGGTTTCAAATGCTATAGAAAATATCATTGGAGTTCAGAAATTGGTTGGATTTTAAAGGCAAAACATACAAGTATTAAATAATGCTGACTTTGGAACCTAATGAGGCCTTAGTGAGTCCATTTTCTCAGCTACCTAGCACAATTTCTTTCTTGTCAAATGCCAAGAAAAATATACGCAAGTAGTTGCTTTTGATTTCCCTTTATTTGCCTTCAGTTTGTAGACATGTTGTCACAATTCACATAAATGCATGCAGAGTTCAGCAGAACTTTGCTTCATTATTTTAGCAAGTGATAAGAGCATTTGACATAGGTATTTAAGGTGTCATTCCATGTGGAGCTGGAGTTTTCTTTCTAGGCTAAGTTGGTACCTTGCCTTTATAAAGTTAGCTGATTTATATATTGTCCTATTTCCCGCCTAAAAAAAAGTTATATCCCTAACCTAAACTTGTCATTGTTAATGCGGGGAATGAATTATGAGCCCGACTTCTCTTGTGAAAAGTATGTTTAATTGTCAAAGGTTACTCTCTTAGGAAATGCTTTTTTGGTTGTACAATCAATATATCTTGAATTAAGTTTTGGACTTTTAATTTCTGCAAACAATAGGTTAAGTCCCTGCATTAATTTATTCTTTGAGGTTTCTATTTGTTTACTGGTTGCAAAGCATAATTTCCCTGTTCAAGGGAAAATTTACAGGAACTAATATACAGAATCCTATATTGTATTAGATCCAATGTGATTTGCAGCAGAGGTCAGAACCCCCAAAGCATAATCTTATATGCCAGATTGCCAGGTCATATGCTTTTTGATGGCACAACGGATGATGTGACGAAACTTAAGTTTAACAGATGTAGAAGAACTCTGTTGTGTTTGTTAGGAAGGCATAAGCAGGGGCCTCAAACCTTGTAGAAAAGACTTAGAACTGTGTTGAACTGTATACACTCATGCAGTGCAATTATCAGTGAGATTTAAGGACATTGGACAGAACTGTTTAGCAAAAACTGCCTTACAGATGAACCAGGATGTTATTTTAGAAAGTTATCAGGATCATTTAAGTGATCCAGATGTGTTAGTTTATGAACAACGATTTTAGGTTTATAAACTTCTTAATTTATAAATGGTAAATGATGGCAAATCCATATCCTTGCTACAATCTTGCTGAGAAAGGTGAAAATCATCAATTAGGAATGACAGAACAAATCGAAGTGTCTGTATACTAACATAAAATAAAACATGCTAAACCAAGGTTGGATTCCTATATATCAATGATATCTTAAATACACTTAATAGTGTGAATAATAAGTATATGCAGGTATACGACGATATGTTTGGTTTCTTTGGATTGTAGCAGTGATCCCCCAACTCTTCAAGAGTCCTATAGAATTGAAGAGTCTTGAGGGAACTCCAGACTTCCAGGTTGCATATATTTAATTTAATGGACTGCTTACCTTCCAAATATTTCCTTTCTTTGAAAACGCAATGCAGAATTAGGATTAGTATGGATTAGCTTTTGAAAATTTTGCCATTTCTGGACGCACTGATGATGAATTTACAAAGAAAGTTAGTTGTTACTTCATCTTACACTGCACTTTTAACATGCAAATATAAATTTGCATGGCTGAGCATAAATTGCCATTAATTCTGCAGAAGATATAAGCCCTCCAGCTTACATAATTTTTAACATACAGAGAGTAATAATTCTTAATATACTGCCATGATTCTACATATCAATTTCTGTTCCTGTCTTATTGTAGTCATGTTTATTCTAAAGGGAGCGTCTTATTGTAGTCACGTTTATTCTAAAGGGAACGTCTTATTTGTTAAGATCACCACAATTTAAAAAAGGAAAACAAATATAAGCCTTAGAATTTCTTAGCAATACGTGAATGATTTCCTACGAAATGTGAAGGAGAAAATAGTTTTCTAAATTTAAGAAGTCATATTTAGAAATATAGGATCTATATAAACTTAAGTTATGATTTGTTATATCATCACAAAAATAAAAGAAAACATAAAGCAGAGAGAGAAGCTTTAAGAGAATTTTTTAGAGAAAATTCTCGGGTGTGATTGGGGTGCATATGGTTGTGAGTTATAATAAGTGTTGTGAACACTTGTGTATTACTTATGTTTTTCAATAAATTTTGCAGCATAATTAGAGATACAAATATTTGTTCATTTATTTGTATTATTCATATATATTTTTTTATTCCCACTAATCCGATTCTAAAGGGAATTTGCATAGTATTTCCAAACAACTGGTATCAGCCCCGAGTTGATATTCTATCGACATTCAGATAGAAATCGTCAGAAACGATCCTAAGAAGTCAGATTTGAGTGGGAGCAATGGCTGCAGACGAAGGAAAGGTAAGACTTGAAAAATTCGATGGTGCAGATTTTGGGTTTTGGAAGATGTAGATCGAAGATTATTTATACCAGAAAAAGCTTTATGAACCTCTTTCGGAAAAAAAAAGCTAGAGGGTATGAATGATGAAGATTGGAATCTTCTAGATAGACAAGCCATTGGAGTTATACGGCTAACTTTATCACGCAATGTTGCTTTTAATATAGCAAAGGAAAAAACCACGGCACGTCTGATGATAGCTCTCTCTAGTATGTATGAGAAGCCATCGGCTTCTAATAAAGTTCATTTAATGAGGCGGTTATTCAATTTGCGGATGACAGATGGCGGGTCGGTAGCTCAACATCTTAATGAACTCAATTCAATCACAACCCAATTGAGTTCAGTCAAAATTGATTTTGAAGATGAAGTTCGACCATTGATACTTTTGTCTTCATTACCAGATAGCTGGAATGCTACAGTCACAGCTGCGAGTAGCTGCTCTGGAAGCAATAAATTGAAATTTGATGATGTTCGTGACCTGGTTCTCAGTGAAGAGATCAGACGGAGAAAGTCGGGTGAATCATATATCAACCTCTTCAGTCTTACATACAGAGTTAAGAGGAAGAAATTCAACCAAAAGAAACGAACGTGGAAGATCAAGTTATCGAGGTAATTCCAGAGACAGGAGATCAAAATCAAGGACTCCCAATAATTGAGTGTTGGAATTGTGGGAGGCATTATAAAAATCAGTGCACCGAAAAACCAAGAAGTAAAGGTAGAGGCAAATGTTACTTCTACCGTAAAAGGAGCATGATGGTTCCAAGAGATACAAATCTCGATTACTAGTTAAAGGATTCCAACAAAAAGGAGTTGACTACAATGAGATTTTTGCACCTGTTATGAAACTTAATACCATTAGAACAGTATTGAGTATTGTTGCCATTGAAAATCTTCATCTCGAGCAATTAGATGTGAAGACTGCATTTCTTCATGGAGATCTAGATGAGGAGATTTACATGCATCAACCAGAAGGTTTCTTAGAAAATGGGAAAGAAAATATGGTGTGCAAACTTAAGAAAAGTTTGTATGGCTAAAAACAAGCCCCGAGACAGTGGTACAAAAAGTTTGATAACTTTATGCACAAGGAAGATTTCCAGAAATGCAATGCTGATCACTGCTGCTATATCAAGAGATATCAATCCAGTTATATCATTATACTACTTTATGTCGATGATATGTTAGTAGCAGGTTCAAATATGGATGATATAAGAAGGCTAAAGGAGCAATTGTCAAAGGAATTTGACATGAAGGACTTGGGTCCAGCAAAGAAAATTCTTGGAATGCAAATTACAAGGGATAACCATAAAGGTACTTTGCAATTATCTCAATCAGAATACATCAAACGTGTTTTTACAGAGATTTAATATGAGTGATGCCAAGCCTACACCCTTGGCAAGTCACTTTCGATTATCTAGGGATCAATCGCCTCAAACGGAGGAAGATAAAGATTATATGGCTAAGGTTCCATATGCCTCAACCATTGGTAGTTTGATGTACACAATGGTTTGTATTAGACCGGATATTGGACATGCCATAGGAGTTGTTAGCAGGTTTATGTCAAATCCAGGAAAAATTCATTGGGAAGCAGTGAAGTGGATTTTGAGGTATCTACGAGGTACTACAGAAAAGTGCTTGTACTTTGGTAAAGGTAATTTAACACTACAAGGTTATGTCGATGCAAACTTTGGAGGAGAAGTCGATCGTCGTAAAAAGCACCACAGGTTATATATTCACGGTTGTTGCAACTACAAAAGATTGTCGCTTTTTCCACTACAGAGGCTGAATATGTAGCGGTAGCCAAAGCTAGTAAGGAGATGATATGGCTTCAAGGTTTGTTAACTGAGTTGGGATTCAAGCAAAAGAATAATGTATTGTACAGTGACAATCAAAGTGCAATACACCTGGCAAAGAATTCAGCATTTCATTCTAAAACTAAGCATATTGGACTTCGCTATCATTTCATAAGATCTCTATTAGAAGATGAAGTGTTAAAACCGGAGAAAATTACAGGAACTGAGAATCCGGCAGATATGTTAACAAAGACGGTGACTATTGACAAACTGAAGTTGTGTTCAACTTTAGTTGGCCTACATAAGTAACATACGAGCAAGTTGAGCTGCATTAGGTGTGAAGACAAATTAAAATTAGTCTTCAAGTGGGAGATTGTTAAGATCACCACAATTTAAAAAAGGAAAACAAATATAAGCCTTAGAATTTCTTAGCAATACGTGAATGTTTCCTACGAAATGTGAAGGAGAAAATAGTTTTCTTAATTTAAGAAGCCATATATAGAAATATAGGATCTATATAAACATAAGTTATGATTTGTTATATTCATCCCAAAAACAAAAGAAAACATAAAGAAGAGAGAGAAGCTTTAAGAGAATTTTTTAGAGAAAATTCTCGGGTGTGATTGGGGTGCATATGGTTGTGAGTTATAATAAGTGTTGTGAACACTTGTATATTATTTATTTTTTCAATAAATTTTGCAGCATAATTAGAGATACAACTATTTGTTCATTTTATTTGTATTATTCATATATATTTTTTATTCTCACTAATCTGATTCTAAAGGGAATTTTCATAGTATTTCTTAACATTATTGTAGGGGTGTATCAGATATGTCGGCTCCATCATGGCAGTTGGGGACTCTGCACCTTTCGATAGGATGTTGGTGGCTTTGGTGGCACTCGTGAGTTTATATTTGCTGTTGGTGGCTTTGGTGGCACTTGTGAGTTTATATTTGTTGTTTGGTACGAGCATTTACACTCATGATTAACACAGGGACAGCCTGTTATTCTGCAGTCGTATGAGCTGGAACACGATTGACCCACTGGTAAACCTGCTTAAACAAACAAAGCAGTTAAATTGTGCAACTAAAAATGCTTTATAGAAAAGTCAAGGTAAAATAGAAATGTTAGCAGATAGTTTTGTTTACCAATTGCAATAACAAAGAGGAGCACCAACAGTGCTGATTTGACAGTCTTTTCCATGTCTTTGGATACTTAGGAAGCTATTCGGACTCGAGTTGGTGGAAATTTATTTTGCTTTGTTGTTTCTGAGGATCTGTTTGTCTTCTATTTATAGAGGTTTGAAAAGCACTCGGAACGTGTTAGAGCACTCTTTCACGTATCTTTAAATTTAGGCTTGTAAGTAATTACATTGGTAAATAGAACTTTCTGGTATGTTATGTTGGTTTAGGGAGATGGGAACTTCTCGTTTTGTACAGAAGAGCTGTTTGGTGATGAACATCAATTGGAAAAGTTGCTTTTACTTTTTCAACTCATGTCTTCAGAATTCTGTTAGGAAGTGAGAAGAACGTGAAGTATAAAGACTTGAGAGGTCATATGTGTCCTGTGCAGGTTGGACTTTAATCCTACTTTCTAGACTAAGCTACCGGCTTTCGTTGTCAGTAGAAGATATAACCACCACAACATCCCTACTATGAGTGATGAGAATCGAACCCTGAACAATGGAGAATTCTCTTACTGTCGTTTCTTGCTAACTAGAGTTCTTCACTTTTAACCCTTTGTCCCATAGTAACGCAACAGAGAAAGACTGAACCTCGGAGAAAACTCTGTCATGGAGCTCCTCCTTGATTCTCTTACTATCTTTCCCTGTAAACTAGAGTTGTTCGATTTTAAATTTTAACCCTTTGTCCCATTATAGCACAACAGAAAAAGTACCATGGGTTTTCAAGTGCTCTCCTTAGCCTTATTTGGAGCTTCAATCCAAGAGGGACCGAGATTGTGGGTGTGCTAGGCCGCTGCAACGATTAAGGGTCAACAAATTAAAGAAAGTTTTTTCTAACTCGATGTGGTTTGTATGAGCTAGTAGAGCTCATCTCAGTAGCTTCATATGTGTGAGGGATCTGTATAACCCTCAAAGCTTAAGTAGTGTTGTCATTTTTGTAATTTGTGAACTGTTTTAATTAATGTATGATTAAGCCTATGTCCAAAAAAAAAAATAACACACAACAGAAAAAGATTGAACCTTGTTAATTTTGACCATCATGAGTGATCACTAAGAAATACTTTACAAGTTTGAGATGAATTTATGATGTCTTTATTTTTTAAAAAACCGTATCTTGTTTGGGAAATTGATGTTTAAGGTTAATTTTTGCAAAAATATACTGATATAACAATCTTTCCCATGTCTTCTGATACCACAGAGATCACTGAAGTTAAACAACAAAAGCATAAGGTTATTCAGAGTTTCAGACAGACAGATGGTCTATCACTCTTATATGTATATATACATTCTAGCTTACATGTTACATCTGCTTCTGTGCTGTAAGCTATCGCCTTAGGATCTATAGTCAGACTATTATTCAAATGTGGAAAAAGTTTAAAATCCAGAAAATTTACCATTGTTTTTAGGTGAGACAGAGGACTTAAATCCTGCTATTCATCTATTTCCCTCTTTTAAGACTTTCTTTTATGAAATGACAGGCTTTAAGAGTTTTGAACTGCACTCAGCGATGTATGGATTAATGTCGATGAGAAAAACAAGAAGAAAGGTATTCAGGTTAAGTAAGCAATGCACCATACCCTTGGTTCAGTAAAGCCTCATTCTAGAATGAAGTTATGAAATTACACTTGGCCAAAATTTGGTCCAATTTGTGTTTTTTATCATCTTTATCGTCTGCCTAAACAATACTTAATGCCAGAGTAGTAAATATGAACCACAGAATATTTTACAACAATGTGAGTACATGTCCATTTCCTATTACTGTTGACACTCATTGCTCAATGTGAATATTGATGTCTAACGCGTATCAATTTCTTGATCTAATGTCGCCTTTCGTGTTCAGTAAGGGAAGGTTACAATGTGAAACAACTAAGCCAATTCTATTCATAATATGGAGTTAGCTGACAAAATCTTCTTAAGATGTAATCTTTGTCTGGTGGCTCACATCACATTGGCTGTTGCACTGCAAATGTTCAGGTATAAAAGCTGGAGATTGTGAATAAAGACGCATCGGCTTCTGGTGTTGCAAATTATCTTCCTTCTTCTTCAGTAGAATGATGCAGAGTCCCTGTGATTGATCTTCTTATAATGCAAGCCAAACATGAAAAAAATGAAAAATAAAGATTAAGCTGCTGATATTCATCTCTGCACTTTACTGTGATGCCTTAGCTTTACCTACCTCCGAGTGAGCTGAATGCTAGATACTTCACCAAGCCTTGATATTCAAGCCAAATACTTTCGAATAATATAAGTGTAATCAGATGAACCCGGGAGTTCCCCCAAACGCTTCAGTAGGAATAAAGGAAATTTTACCTAATGAAGTGCTCAGAGGAACTCTAGGGAACACCTGATGTATTCAACTGCTAATGTTTGATGCATGAGAATTTGTTGGTCTTGCTATTTATAGCAACTTGTTTGATATTTTGGTCAGTAAACTTTATATTCTTATTTGACGATCCAAACAGAACCTAGCCGTTTTCCTGGGCCAAGTTAGACATACTCACATACATGAGCAGAACAACAGACTTACAGTATTGAGTGGTCAATATGCTTCTCTTTTTTTTTTTTTTTTTTTTTTTTTTTTTTGTGGTTTTGGTTTTGTTTTGCGTTTTATGCTTAATAACTTGATTCATGTTATTTTATAGTTCTGTCTCTAATTTTCTTATACATGCTTATATGACAGTAATGACAGTCTTTACCTTTCTGTTTTTCTAAAAATACGCGACTCTTAATAATTTTTTTTTTGACAGGGACTCTTAATAAATTGTATTGTTGCATTTTTTTTCTATAATTTGTTGAACAATGTCGTTGTGATATTAAAGTTGCGCGGTTAATTTTCCTTATAAGTACTTTCCGTTATGTTAATCTATTACTTGGTATGTCTTTTTCCTGTTTGCGAGTGCAAATTTTTTTACTTGTATAGTCAACATAATAGCAGAAAAGTGACATTCAGTAATTTTTCGAACCTATTTGAAGCCAATAACGCCTTTAATAAATTCCATACGGAGTATTATTTTGTCTTTGGTTAGTGCCTTTCTTTTTTAAGAAGATGCTGCAATAGAAGTATCACTTGGTACATTCTGTTAAATAAATTGCAGTTCTTCTATAGAGAATTATTTTTCTGATCAAAAATTTGATGATGACGAAGCTGATAATAACTGCTAAGTAGGAAAAGTATAGGGAAAATAAGGCGTGGGAGAAACCGTTCTATGAGAAAAGGAGCTAATTAGTAACTCCAGGACTTTTTTTTACCAAGCTGTTATCCCATGTATGCACAATATCAGTGTTCAATTTTTGTTATCAAATTGTCCTTTCTAATTAGTAAAATAATTGCTTTCAGTATCTTGATCAGTCCATGTTTTACCTGAATGCTTGATAACATAGATGAACAAAAAAACCTTTACTAAGAAATACAAGCAACATCTTGAAACCTAGTACTGATCACAACTTGAGCAAGCAGAAATTCATTGGACATAATTTATTCAGATTATGGTTCATTAGCAGCAGCCCAACAGCTGAAACTTATAGTATTGATGTATTTTTTAGTATTCTGGACATCTCATACAAAAAGATTACCATGGGAATTTTTCAGAAGGATTGGACAGTGAAGTGCAGTAACCCTGAATGCACATAGGTGCTTTGCGCTCTGTAAGTCTGCAGTCATATGCAGATGTCAAAGGATCTGCAGCAAATTTATGTTTATATGATGCTTATATGCCGGGACAACTGTATCTTTTCTTTGTGCTTTACCTGAGAGTATTATCAAATTATGTTAGCTAGTTTCGGTGAATCCATCTTCTCCATGTTTACCAAATTTTATTTTTCTGTTTGCTACAATTGCAGGGTGCAAGGAATATCATATGGAGTATTTTCTATGGGTGAGAGAAGAGTATCTATGAGCAAGATTAAATTGGTCCTTGCAGGGATTATAAATTCTGGTGAGTTGCTCTATTACGTAAGGTGTGGTGTTCTTGCAAGGATGTGCAAATTGGTTACCGGGAAATCATAATGCAAATCCAGATTTGAATGTCCTGTATGCTTCTATATATCTCATTATCCTTTTCTTTGTAGGAAAATTAGAGAAGGTATTCACTTAGGCAGTTAGATGTTAAGGAGTGACATTATGTTTGTGTACAGACCAGTACAATAAATGTTTAAAATGAACTTCCTAAGGTTGAATGCGCTTGATCTCTTAAGCTACTTTAAATATGTTTCATGATAGGATAGTGTGCATTGGTAAACTGCCAAATAGGGGAAGTTGAGGCGCTAGCCAAGTGTTAGAAATCCCAACTCTGACTAACAACTGAATTCAATCTACATATTATAGTCTAATGGGAGATAATTGCAGCTACAACTTTGTATGATTCATTGTTTCATTGTAGTGGTCTCTCGAGTTCTGCCTAATGCTTCTACTGGATAATGATATTCCATGTTTTAGTTTAAATGCATGTATATGGACCTTTGGGGAGCTCTAGGGGGCAATTGATTCATAAAAAGTAAAGGATTGCCAAAAATATGTTTATCTCTTCTCACAATTCAGACTGCTCTTGCTTTCAACTTGGAACCTATGGTTTATTCCCTCCGTCACAAAATTTGATTCCACTGTTGGAAATCAGCTCGGAGGGATTAGGAATAGTAGTCATTTGTAGTAAACAAAAATTGAAATGGCAAATTGTGGAAAAAACAACAAAGTAATAAAAAGTGTTGGTTTAGAGAGAGGAAAGGACAAGGAAGAGTATAACGGAAGTGTTAACTTTTGTCTTTCGGGACAAGCTGAAAGGGTGTGTGAAGTTGATTTTTGGATAGAATTTGTATGAATCTTGTTAGAAAATACATGTTAGATGAGCCGAGAAGCTGCCTGGCAACATGGACAAATAAAGTTCCTTTAGCCCTTCACCTTGTAACCTCTTTTATTGAATTTCTTTCTCTATGTATCTTGGTATTTAGTCAGAACTGTGGGTTATATGAGAAACACAATCAACTTTCCTAGAATATTATTCTGTTTTTGTTTGGACGAGCTTTCACATAGCATGGAACAAAATCATGCTTTTTCTTGATGGATATTCTTAGTGTATGACTACCTAAGATATTTCCCTTCAATTCTGGTTTTATAGAAACTGCATTGATTCAAGTATTAGTGGAATAAAGATGAAGAAAAGGACAGGAGATATACAAGGTGGAAAAGTTTTATGTACATGATTCTCTACATTTAACTTTCTGTTCTTTACCTTTTACCAAAGCCGTATTAAGGACTAGATGCAGTTTGTTATGTTGCACTTGGCCTGAATATCGGTTCTATTTTGCTGTCTTTCGCAATTCAGAAGAAACAATGATCAATGAGCTAAAACATAGTGAAGTCTTTTGCCTTATAAATTTGTTGTTGCGATGCTTTTGGTATCAGCAACCAATGGAGTCAGGTATCCTCTGGAGTTCCCTCGGAACACTTCTATGGAGACATAAATGGCTTTTCGAAAGGAAGCTTTTCTCTACTGAAGTGTTTGGGGGAACTCTAGGTGGTACTTGACAATGTAAGGTAACATTTTGATTTTTGGGGAAGAGCAGGTATCTGTTCTGCTGTAGTATTAAGCAACTTTCAAAGATTTACCATGAAACTTTGCCTTAAAAAAATATGTAGTACATTGAAATGCATTTGGTATTCTCAAACAAAAGAGGTCAGGTGTCCTCAGGAGTTCCCTCGGAACACTTCAATGGGGATACATATGGCTTCTCGAAATGAAGCTTTTCTCTACTGAAGTGTTTGGGGGAACTCTTGGAGGTACTTGATATTGTAGAGTGACAATTTTGAGGGCAGAGCAACTATCTACTCCTTTCGTTTTTTTTTTTTTTTTTAATTTTTTTTTTTTTTTTATAAATGACATACTATCTTTTATGTGGAGTTGTAGGAAAATTATATGAATTGGTGCGTTTAACATGAAACAATAACAACTTTATTGAAGTATGCTACACTATGTGTGTAGTAAGAAATAAGAATATAAGATATTACTTACCTTGAAAATATGGTTTGCTTGATAGTGTGTCGAATGATAATGTGTGTTGTGGCGAGCTTTCGTTAAGCATAATGCCTATTGCTTGAACTTTAATTTTTATAACTAGGCATCGTATGTGATAGTTGTTGCAGTCAAAATCTAAAAGGCTATCGACTTGAGGTGGAGGTTGTGAAAAGAGAATGCGATACAAATGGCGGTAAGGCATCGCCAAAGTTGGACATGGGTGTGGAGTTGTGACATAAATCTATGTAGTATATATACTAATACAAAATTAAAGGTGTTAATGGTTAAAGTTATGTATTATTGATCAGAAAAGTACCAAGTTTACAAATTTTTAATTATTATTTTTTTTTAGACTTTTCGTTAGGAACTACCTAATAAAACCCAAATTTTGTGAGAAACTATCTAATGAAAAAAATTGATGTAAGAAACTACCTAATAAAGGTAAAATGTTGTAAAAAACTACCTAAGAAAAGATAAATGTTGTAAAATACTACCTATACCAGATTTCCATCATTGACCGACCTCAAAACACTCTCGAAACCGCCGCTTTCATTCCCAAAACCAACACAACTTGCTTGAAATCGCCTCCACCACGCTTAAACCACCTTCCAACCCCAAAATCACCACCTCTAACCCCCAAAACCACCATCCCTAAGCACTAATCTACCCTCATCAACTCGGAATATCCTCCAACCACCCCGAAAATAACCTTACCACCTTGAAAACCAACCTTCACGATGGTTTTGGGGGGTGTTTTGAGGTGGATCAACATCGTGAAATTAAGTCAACGGTGGGAATTCGGTCAAAGGTAGTATCTTACAACATTTTACCTTTTATTAGGTAGTTTCTTACAACATTTTTTTTATTCGGTAGTTTCTTGCAAAATTTAGGTTTTACTAGGTAGTTTCTCCCAAAAAGTCCTTTTTTTTTTCCAGGAATATTGCTAATATTCATGTAGAATAATTTCAATGTTGCCAACAGCACCGTCATTGCAGATGTGTTAATACACTTATGCGAAGTCTTCACCGTGTTTGCTAATTAATATCAATCTTTACACTTGTGTTTTTGTTTTGTGTTGTTTAATTTTGATTTTTTAGAGTGATTGTATAAGGTATTGATGTGAGGAGTTTCATTTATAGACAAAACATTGTTGGTGTTTCTCGTGAGCAACTTCAAATTGGTCCCTTTGTTTGCATGAAATATAGTTGGAGTTTCTTCTAAACAACTTCATATTGATCTTATACGCCACCAAACATTATTCTGTTTCAAATAAAGCATACAAGACCAGTATTTGTACAATCAAATTTTTTCAACAGAAACAACGACACTTAATAGTTTCTTTTGTTAGGCTTATTATAGGGAAAAGATTGTAAAGGGTATGATGCCCGTTTTTTGACAAATTCACACGTATTGACACTCCAAATTTGAAAACCTCTGGCTATGCTGCCCCAATTAAGGTTATTAATTTATTTTTTCATACTTAATTATCACATTTGTTGCTGCACAACTATAAATCCATAATATATCTCTAATTATATCAATTAAAGGTGGTATTACCAAAAAAAATTAGGGCTTTTTGTCAGAAACTATTTATTAAAAGCCATTTTTTGTGAGAAACTACCTAATAAAAAAAATGTCGTAAGAAACTACCTATTAAAATGAAAATGTTGTAAAACACTACTCTTTCACCAGATTTTCACCGTTGACTAATTTTTCCACCGTTGACCACCCACTTGCCAATCACGTGAACTTTTAAAACCCTTTTTTTTCCATGCCCCACCAACAATGCCACCTATCATGTGCCAACGCCGGAGAAATTAGTCAAAGACGAAAATCCGACGAATAATAGTTTTTTACAACATTATTTGTTTTAATAGGTAGTTTCTTACAACATATTTATTTTAATTGGTAGTTTTTTACAACATTTTTTTTATTAGGTAGTTTCTCACAAAAAATTGCTTTTAAAAGTAGTTTTTGACAACAAAGTATGTAATATAATGTAAATTTTTTGTACGGAGTAATTAATTTAAGAAAAAAAGACGTTCGGTATAGTTCCACACTAATTTCATAAAAACATTAAAAGTTATTACTCTCCAACCAATGTCACCTTTCGAAAGAGTAAAGTCACTCTAATTTCACAATAAGTATAATTATTTTGTGGTTGTGATTAGGGTGGTACATTAAGCGACCATAACAAAAATACGAAAGGGACTAGAAATTTATAAGGTGGAAAAGTTGCATGTAAATGCATGCTTTTCTTTCATTTAGCATTGTACTGGTATTATAAATTTGCTATGAAAAAGCATTAATTATTGCATACATCAGTACGTACGTACAATCTTTGCTTCTCTGAGTGTCTGTCAAAGGCAATAACACAGTTTATTTTCTTTCACATGATTGTATTGATCGAATTGACATGGACAATCTGAGGCTATTACTACGTCTCACCCCTTTATTCTCTTATACAATTTATTTCCTTTTATTTGATCATTTTATACATACATGATGCACTATAACATAATCATCTAAGAATGTATAGTAGTTTATAGTACTATGGACTGTGTTAGAAAGATATGATAGAATCTTCAATATGTTATCATTAGGCAAGATATATTTGATATATTTGCTAGATATTATATAATCTTATCTTAGGAAAGGATATTATTTAGTTTCCTAGTTTGATATAGATTGTTCCTTGGGGCTCAAGGTCCTCTTGTATAAATATGATTGATCTATGAATGATAAAGGCAAGCTATTGAATCATAATATTGTCATGGTATCGGAGCCAGGAGGTTCTTCATAAATTTATTTTTTTAACCACCGTATACAATGCCGCCCGGCGATGACAATCCACCGCCACCACCACCTAAAATTGAACCGAACTCCCCGTATTATCTAGGACCCCAAGATCGTCCTGGTGACTTCATAACTCCACCAGCTGCTGCGCCATCATCCACCACTGCCTCGGCCTCTTCTCCGCTTCCGCAACTCACTCCCAAGCAGTGGCACGCCGTCATGGCTGTTATGGGTAACGCGCCACCTCCTTCTCACCGCTTGAATGGTAAGTGGATTATTGACACCGGTTGTTCTCACCACGTCACCGGTGATTTCTCTTGTTTAGTGGATGTTCGTTATGTTCCTTCATGCAATGTGGGCCTTCCGGATGGTACTAGTGTGATTGCTATGAAAGAAGGAGTTGTGAAAATAACAGACAAAATATTTCTTCACAATGTGCTTTTTGTTCCTAAATTAAATTGTAACTTAATTTCGGTTTCACAATTGTGCTCTACTAATAATTGTGAAGTCATAACTAACTCTAATACATGTACTATACAGGACCAACGCACGAGGGAGGTGATTGGAACGGGTGATCTCAAGGATGGACTATATTATCTTTGGGAAGAAGCTTCTATTGCGGCTATTTCGGTTGAAGACACCTTGAAACTGTGGCACAAACGGTTGGGTCACCCTTCTGAAAAAGTTGTAAAATTACTTCCTTTTCTTAGTAATTCTAGTGCTCATTTAAATAAAGATTGTGAAGTGTGTCATCGTTCTAAACACACTAGAGACAAATTTCCTATGAGTGATAATAAAGCTTCCCGTAATTTTGAAATAGTGCATTGTGATTTATGGGGCCCTTATACCGAACCTTCTTCTTGTGGTGCACATTATTTTCTAACTTTGGTAGATGATTATTCCCGTGCTGTATGGATATATTTATTGGTTGATAAAACTGAGGTCTTTAAAATATTTATGTCCTTTATTGCCATGATTGATAGACAATTTTCACAGAAAATAAAAATTGTGCGTAGTGATAATGGAACCGAATTCTTTTGCTTGAAAAATTATTTCCTAGCACAAGGTATCCTGTTTCAAACCTCGTGTATTGGCACACCTCAACAAAATGGGAGGGTAGAGAGAAAACACCAACACATTCTCAATTTTGCTCATGCCCTTCGATTTCAGGGGGGGTTACCAATATATTTTTTGGGGGAGTGTGCTCTTGCGGCCGCTCATATAATAAATCGCACTCCTTCAGTCCTATTAGGCAATAAAACACCGTATGAAATGTTGTTTGGCACCCCACCTTTATTTAATGAATTACGAGTATTTGGCTCTTTGTGTTTTGCTCATAACCAAAGGGCAAAAGGGGATAAATTTGCAAGTCGTAGTCGTAAATGTATATTTGTGGGGTACCCTTTTGGGAAGAAAGGATGGTATTTATTTGACTTGGATAAAAAGGAATTTTTTATTTCTCGTGATGTGCGTTTTTTTGAGGATGTGTACCCTTATTTGGATGCCGAAAGCACCAATATTGATGTAGCTACGGATGGTATGAATGCTACAATAAATATGGAGGAGAATTTGGATTTTTTTACCCCTATTTTCGACAGTGATGAGGGGGACTCTATGCAGCAGCCACCGACTGCCCACACCCCTCACTCACTGCCGCCGCCCACCACCCAGCCACATAGCCCAGCCACGGCTACCCCTGACACGTCAGCTGTACGGACAGCAGGTGGTGAGGACTCCACGGCACCCGAGCCAATGGGGCGTGGTCACCGTCCGAAGTATGCAAACTCCAAATATAAAGATTTTGTCACTCATACTCATGTAGCTCGAAATAGTCCATACGAAGCATCACTCAACCCAATTACTACTCCTCCCTCAGGTATGTCGTATCCTATAGCACATTATGTTAGTTGTGATAAGTTTTCTGCAAAACACCGAAATTTTGTTGCAGCTTTAACAGGTGGGAAGGAGCCACGATCCTTTAAAGAAGCAATGCAAGACCATGGTTGGAAGATGGCCATGAAAGAAGAAATGCGTGCATTAGAGTCCAATGGCACGTGGACCTTGGAAAAATTACCTCCCGGGAAGAAGGCACTCGGGAGTCAATGGTTGTACAAAATTAAGTACAACTTTGATGGTAGTATTGAAAGATTAAAAGCAAGATTAGTTGTCTTTGGAAATCATCAAACCGAAGGCATAGATTATGATGAAACTTTTGCTCCGGTGGTCAAGATGACCACGGTTCGTGCATTCCTTGCTATTGCCGCCTCTAAGAATTGAGAATTGCATCAAATGGATGTTCACAATGCATTCCTTCATGGTGATTTAAATGAGGCAGTCTACATGAAACTTCCCCCGGGTTTCACAACTGATGAGCCGGGTCTTATTTGTCGTCTTCGGAAATCTTTATATGGTCTTAAGCAAGCTCCTAGATGTTGGTTTGCTAAATTAACTTCGGCCTTGAAAAAGTATGGTTTTACACAATCATACTCAGATTACTCCCTATTCACTTATACAAAGGGGTCTGTGCAACTTAATGTTCTTGTTTATGTGGATGATCTAATTGTTGCAGGGAACAATTCTATGGCGTTGCAATTGTTTAAAAATTATTTGAGCAATTGTTTTCATATGAAGGACTTAGGTGTTCTCAAGTACTTCCTTGGGATTGAGGTGGCAAGGAGTAGAACCGGTTTATTTTTATGTCAACGCAAATATGCTCTTGATATCATCTCAGAAACCGGCCTATTGGGGTCAAAACCGGTCATGACACCCATCGAACAAAATCACAATTTGGGGCGTGCTTCCGGCCCTACTCTTGCTGACCCAGAGCCATATCGAAGGTTGGTTGGTCGGTTAGTTTACTTGGCTGTTACACGGCCCGACTTGACATATGCGGTTCATGTGCTCTCTCAGTTTATGCAGGCACCGCAACAAGTCCACTGGGACGCTGCAATTCGTGTTGTAAGGTACTTGAAAAGTACTCCAGGGCAAGGAATCTTGCTACGGGCTGATGGTGATCTCACCCTTGAGGGGTGGTGTGATGCGGATTGAGCAGCGTGCCCCATCACACGCCGATCTGTCTCGGGATGGCTGGTCTTCTTGGGTCACTCTCCTATAGCGTGGAAATGCAAGAAACAACTAACGGTCGCCACTTCTTCTGGAGAGTCCGAATATAGGTCCATGTGTGCCATCACTATGGAAATGAAGTGGCTAAAAGGGCTACTCTTAAGCTTGGGCGTGCAACATCCTCGAGCCATACCAATTTTTTGTGATAGTCAAGCGGCCATACATATTGCTCAAAACCCGGTTTTCCACGAGCGTACAAAACATATCGAAGTCGATTGTCACTTTTTCCGTGATGCAATACAAGATGGCCTCATTATTCCTCATCATGTGCGCACAAATGAGCAGCTAGCGGATATTTTTACAAAGGCCTTAGGAAAGCCTCAATTTGATTATCTTCTTAGCAAGTTGGGCATCTTTGATCCAAGTGCTCCAACTTGAGGGGGGGTGTTAGGAAGATATGATAGAATCTTCAATATGTTATCATTAGGCAAGATATATTTGATATATTTGCTAGATATTATATAATCTTATCTTAGGAAAGGATATTATTTAGTTTCCTAGTTTGATATAGATTGTTCCTTGGGGCTCAAGGTCCTCTTGTATAAATATGATTGATCTATGAATGATAAAGGCAAGCTATTGAATCATAATATTGTCAGACTGTCAGCTGCAACAGACTTATTATATTTTCAGACATATAATATATCGGCGTACGTAGACAGTGAAATTACACAGTTCAAATTCCGGGAGAAGGTGGAGGTTGTGAGGGACATGTGCAATAACCATGTAAACACAATGGTGCTTTGCACCCTGTAAGTCTACAGTCATATTCGTTGAAGCAAGGTACCCTTTGCACATCTTTGTTTGGATTATTATCGGACTTCAGAACTTCTGATGTCGTTGCTGTGCTTGATATGATCAGTGTTGCAAATAACAGCACCAAGACTGCTTGTTTCGACGAAGCCTGCTTCCCCATTTCTGCTAGCTAGACTGCGTGCTAATTTATCTTTGTGTTTTTGTTTGATTTCTTGATGCAAGGTATAGATTAGAGGGATGTTACGTTATATATAGGGTATATTTTGTTGGTTTAAATTCAACAAAGAGATGTATTTGTTTTTTTATGGGGATCAGTAACTTTAATTTGTCAAAATGTATTGTTTGCATGAGTATGAATTTGTGGTGTTTGTAAGCAACTGAATAGGTCATTGATAATGCATGTTTTTTTTTACAAGGAAAAAAAAAAATCGAAAATTTATCAAAAGATAATTGAAATTCTCTAGGAAATATTGTCACCCTTTGGAATACAAAAGTAGTCACATACTCCAATTCCGCAATTTATTTTTAATAAATTCGTCCTAAGACTCCTAACAATCACATCATACGAACATAATGCATATTGAAATATACAATGACAGACTATATAGTTATCATATGAGATTAGATATTTATTTCAAGATTTTTTTTAATAAATCATATTTATTAAAAGTCATATAAACAAATTGAAAAATGAATAAAGCAAATATTTCCATAAAAAAACTAAAATTGTTGAGTAGATATTGCTTTTTAGTACATCTCTCGTACATATTGCAGTAATAGCAATACATAGTATTAACACTCCATTAACAATATTAACATAATTGTTTGATCTCCTGAATAATAAGTCGTTACACCTTGATTCAAACAACAAACTCAAACAAATCAAGCCGGTTAAGGTTAATCATCTATGATCAACTAATATCAATTGTTTCCAGGATTATGAGGGGGGCATTTGCAGACATGATAAACACAATTAGGCGCAAGACAACCAGCAAATCTGCAGTCATGTTCTGATTTACAAGGCAATACAGGCTCACGCCAACCGCCTCGACGCCATTCATGATTGAATTCATTCGCCAAGCCTCTTGCAAAAACTAAGAGAGGTGAATATACTAGCTGTTTCGGATGAAAACAATCGAATCTCGGAAGATCCTTTTATCTTGAGGGAACTTGGTCTCGGTCCGAACGACGCCGGAGCCGAGGGTTTCCTGCACAACAAATACACGTAAACTAGCCTCGGGGGGGACGCCGAGGAAGGCCCCTCCGATGCTTAAGTCAGTATATTAGAGAGAGAAAGCTGTGCAAGAGTTTAGTTGCTTGAGGCTTATTGTCTTTGTCTTTGTCTTTTTTCTTTGTCTTACCCTCCCCAAGAATTGACCAAATTGTTGGCTTTTATACCTTGGCTAATGAAGGAGGCGGATTGGGCCCGGAAATCAGTTGGGCTGGGCCAAGCTGATTGGGCCGTTGACTGACCTTGACATGGCTTTGAGGATGTTGATTTTTGACTTTAGCATATTTGGAGAGTTGAACCTTTGCCTTGGGCTTTTAATTGGATCATTCAGTGACCAGGCCCAATTGGACTAAATTGGACCCAAACAACTTGCCCCCCAGACCCGATTTGGAAGGATGACGGGTCGGGTTTGATTTAACCAGAAAAGGAGGGAAGTGAATGATTTGCTGATCCAAAAATGTGAATTTAAACCGTAATTAACCCATGATTAATGAGATAACAACAGTTAATGTGGATGATTGCGGAAGTTGGACGGGTAGTGGGCGATTTAACTGCAAGGTTGTGTGTTTAACGGTTACTTAGCGGGGTGCTTGAGAGAAGTTGAAACGCAGACTCCTTGAATTCCCATTTCTGGAGATATAAATAGAGGTGCGTCTTCTCTCCCCACTCACTCATCAACACAAACCCAGAATTCTCAAGAACGCTCAAGAGCCCGCATCAAAACTTCGCAAATTCCCCGAGC